TATAATATTTATAAGAGAATATTTAATGATATTATTATCTATTTGTAGAATTATAATATTTATAAGAGAATATTTAATGATATTATTATCTATTTGTAGAATTATAATATTTATAATAGAATATTTAATGATATTATTATCTATTTGTAGAATTATAATATTTATAACAGAATATTTAATGATATTATTATCTATTTGTAGAATTATAATATTTATAAGAGAATATTTAATGATATTATTATCTATTTGTAGAATTATAATATTTATAAGAGAATATTTAATGATATTATTATCTATTTGTAGAATTATAATATTTATAAATGAATATTTAATGATATTATTATCTATTTGTAGAATTATAATATTTATAAGAGAATATTTAATGATATTATTATCTATTTGTAGAATTATAATATTTATAATAGAATATTTAATGATATTATTATCTATTTGTAGAATTATAATATTTATAACAGAATATTTAATGATATTATTATCTATTTGTAGAATTATAATATGTATAAATGAATATTTAATGATATTATCTATTTGTAGAATTATAATATGTATAAATAAATATTTAATGATATTATTATCTATTTGTAGAATTATAATATTTATAAGAGAATATTTAATGATATTATCTATTTGTAGAATTATAATATGTATAAATGAATATTTAATGATATTATTATCTATTTGTAGAATTATAATATTTATAATAGAATATTTAATGATATTATTATCTATTTGTAGAATTATAATATTTATATGAGAATATTTAATGATATTATTATCTATTTGTAGAATTATAATATTTATAACAGAATACCTATTTGTAGAATTATAATATTTATAACAGAATATTTAATGATATTATTATCTATTTGTAGAATTATAATATTTATAATAGAATATTTAATGATATTATTATCTATTTGTAGAATTATAATATTTATAACAGAATATTTAATGATATTATTATCTATTTGTAGAATTATAATATTTATAACAGAATATTTAATGATATTATTATCTATTTGTAGAATTATAATATTTATAATAGAATATTTAATGATATTATTATCTATTTGTAGAATTATAATATTTATAACAGAATATTTAATGATATTATTATCTATTTGTAGAATTATAATATTTATAACAGAATATTTAATGATATTATTATCTATTTGTAGAATTATAATATTTATAATAGAATATTTAATGATATTATTATCTATTTGTAGAATTATAATATTTATAAACGAATATTTAATGATATTGTGTGTGCCGAGGGGTTGAATAAATCTGATGCTTATAGAATCTGGGCAGATTTACGAGATATGTTTTATGATTTGGTAAGTCAATATTACATTTATTTCTATTCTTAATATTTTAATTATTTAATGTTAATTAGATTATTTAAGTGATGCATTCTAGCAATGTAACTTAATTTGTAATGTCACTAACTGTAAAATTCATTGTTCTTTTTTAGTGAAGTAGCTTGAAGCTTTTAAATTGTGAAATTGATTCAAATCATGTCAAAAAGTCTTAAAATATATAAATAGAGGATTGTTCAGATAGTTTACATATCAAAAGTACGGATAGATCCATGGAATTATATTAATTTGATTTCAATTGTTTACAGTGTGAGAATATGGGTAAATCTCAAGAAGCAGGTACACCACAATATGAAGAATTTCAGATAATGACATTAATCAGTCATTATTATGCTGTACGGTCTGCTGCTATGGGTCAAGGTTCATTAGAAAGTATTGCTATGCGACTCTCTGTATCAATGTTACGTCATACAGATATTATACCAGCAGATAAAGCTTTCTATGAGGCTGGTACAATGTGTAAGGTAAGTTATAGTTTGTTTCTGAAGGTATAACTGCAAAGATGCTGTCAATATTAAATTTATCATAATTTGATATTTTAGCGTAATGTGTTTAGGAAATGAAACTACTTATTTTAATAATTTATTTGACTGAAGTCCATCTCATGCTGCTAACACAAAATACTTATCAGGACCACTAGTTTTGAAAACGAATTCCCTAAAGGTAAACCAGTTTGTTTTACATGAAGTGTGCTAATTTTAACTATACAGAATTATTTTATAGGCAGCTGGTTCAGAAAACATGGCTTTTGTGTTTTTAAACAGATGTTTAGATATTACTGAGGTAGGTTAACCATTCTGTGTTTTACTAAAATTATTATCATCTTTTTTTTTTTCTCTGGAATTATTGAATGTCTAATAAACTAAAGCATTGTGGTATAATTCCATCATAGGTCAGGAACTTTTCTATATACCTTTCAAAGGACTGACTTTGCTTAGCTAGATGATCATTTGTATGGAATGAAAAGTCATGACCTTGAGTTCTGCAGACTATTTAGATTTAGATGGTACACTCTGTCATTCTGTCTTCAGTAAATCAGTAAGGCATAAAAGGACAACATATCAGTTCAGTCCATTTCATTAATTCATTCTATATATTCTAGGCTATTGAAGATGGTAGTTTAGACATGTTAGATCACAGTGATTTTCAAGATACAGATATACCATTTGAAATACCTTTACCTGAAAAACCATTCTTATCAGTAAGTTTGTAATACATCAATTTCATTCATTGTCTGGACATCACTTCCCAGAGCTGGCATAAAGGACAATGGTATTATAACAATTTATGAAAAGATTTTGATGAGCATCGTACACTTCTGGTATCTTCCATTGTAATAGACACAGTTTGATATGAAAATATTATATCAAATCCATGATTTGGTTGTTTATTCTAGACTCAACAACATGAGGAAATAAAAGAGTGGGTATTAGCTGTCTCTATGGATCAACGTGTAGCTCAGATACTACCTAAAGATGAGAGAAATACATATGAAGCATCATTAGTAGCTAGTGACACTGGTATTAGATCTTTACCATGCATTATAACTGGTATGTATTTTAATATATTTTATGATCAAGTCTTTTCAAAACTATTGTTGATTCTGTATTACATGATTATTTAATTTTTTTTGTAGCTTATCTTATTTTTTTATTATTATGTTTTAGGTTGTCCTGTTGTGATTATATTTCAAACCTTGTCTCGATTTTCTAATTTGAATAAAAGTTATGAACGGTTTTGAAAAACAAATTTGTAGCTTATCTTAATTTCTTTATTATTTGATTGTAGGTTATCTTGTTTTTATTGTCATAGTCTCATAGCTTGTCTAGATTTCCTTATTATTTGTTTATAGGTTATCCTGTCCTGAGAAATAAAGTCGAATTTTCAAAACCTGATAAAGTAGCTAATAAAGATGACTGGAATAAATTTCTTATGGCTACTAAAGTAAGATTATATATTTTTTTTACTCTTAAGCACCTCATAGATAGTTTCTGAACTATATGTTTCTGTATTCTAGCTTGTATAGAAAATTAATACTGAGATTATCTGTGATACTCTTCCATCAAATATGAAATTTATATTCCTCTATACTTTATCCTGTATGGCATTTGACTCCAGCACCTAGTGCTTGTCTGTGCAGGCCTCGCTTAATAAATAGCCTGGTAGCCTTACCTATACATAAAACCTTTTTGATTGGTAGTAAACAAAAATAAGACCAACTAATGTTTATTTTCAGGTATCTCACAGTCCAGAATTGAAAGATATACTGAAGTTTATTGGAGCTTTTGGTGGAGCTGCACCAAATCCTACTTATTCTTTTCAATAATTATATATTCTAATATAATACTGTTATTGATTAATGTTTAGTCTAGTTATTTTTTTTGTTATTTTCCGTCCATTATTTCTGTGATAGTTATTTCTATTATTATTTATTGTCATATTATATGAATTTGTTCTGGATATTCAATTTATTGTAATTATGTTTGTCAAATTTTCACTGAAATAGTATTAAGTTGAATTAACTAAATTCATATTATTTATTGCTAAGTGTTTCAGAAATGGAGATGCAAAATGCATAAAATTCATTGTAATACACTTTTGACATTATGCATACTATTTTGAAAGCAAAAAATTGTGATTTGAGTCTAACTTTACAGTTAACAGGTTATTGATGTCACAAGTTGAAGGAGGATACCTTTGTTAACCATATGATCATTGTAGACTTGCAATTCTGTCAACTTATCTTAACTATTGTACAACTGTAGATTATAGTTTAAAGGGAAAGGTTCGCCAATCGTTTGACTAATCATACCTTTGTCTCAGAACAAGAATTTTTTTTAGCTAAGCTAATCAGTAATAGTGTTCACAGCTCATTGTCAAAATTTCAGCCTTCAAACCCAAGTGTGTCCAGAATTATTTGCGTATGAAAGTAAAATGTTGATGTGTCATCTCTTGAGGCTCTGCATATATATAGAAATGACATGTATAGAAATAGAAAGTGAACTTCCTAGTTAGAGGAATATTAGAAGTAATCATGCAGTTTTCCTACACTTCTAGACTAGAAGTTCTAGTACTTCTGAATACTATTTACATTAAGGACCCAAATCAACCCCCGAAAATGCCGAACCTCTACCTTTAAGACGGGTCAGTGATTTAAAAAATTTGTCATATGGCTACACACCAAATTTGATAAAACAGGGACCTCTATTGCGTTCACAAGCTTCTTTCAAGGTTTTTACAGTATACCGAGGGCTGTAACTTCCTTAGAAAATATTGAGAATTAGTGTATCAAATCCCCATGATCAAAAAGGATTATATGTATGTAAAAATTTTATGTTTAATCTTCAAATAAACATTTGTGAAAAACTTCCTTTGAGAATAATTCTCGTACACAAATGCAATTGGCTTGTCATTGTTTTGTCTTTATATATTGATGATCAACACAATTCACTCAAGTTTTTACAATCTAATCACAAACATCACAGAATTACACATCAATTCAGAAACACTGGGAATAGTTATTGTTGGAAATCCCACTTTCTATCTTTATATTTCTTCAATAAATGTTTATATTGATCTCTGACCTTATCTCTATCCTCTGGCTCTGGTGTGTACGGTTCGTCTCCCTTCCACCATCTAATCCAATGTACTTTCAACTAAACAGAGAAAAAAATAATTAAACACTGCATGGATAGGTTACTTCCATAATTTTTCAAGGCAGTTTAAAGCTTTAAATTTTCAAATGATACAGACTTCTGTTGACTGCAGGAACAATTTTTGGCAGATACAGAATTCAAAATGTCAATGTTAATCCTGCACTGAAAATTTACATATTTCATTTTACTATAAACATTTGATAGTTCAGATACAGATAAAAAGTTCAGGTCAAATCCTGGCCACTGTTTCACAAAAAAAATAGTAAGTTTTCTGTTCATTGCATTTCACAAAAAAAAGTGCTGACTTATTTTAATCCTTACAACACTAGCAGCTACTAATTAGGTATATTTTAAACATTATTATGTTATGTAACATGAACCTTATAATTTGTGTTAGTACTTGCTGTTGGAATAGACATGTTTATCAAGTTATTAAATGTTACTCGCTTTTGTTGTTCCATTTTGGTTTTAAAACAGTTAAAACACAGTGCTCTACTAATAAAGAACTTTAAACAATAACATAAAATTGCTCAATAAGCCAATATTTTAACAGTGAAAATATTTTATTGTATAAAATAACCTTATATGCTTGAAGACATAATACTTAAACTTATGGCACTAATGGTTGTAAGATTTTTTGCTTATGTGTGTAAGAGGCAGATATAAAAGGTATACGGATCTTCCCCAGTCCATAAGTTAGACCTTCTGGATAACACAATCTTTTCAAATGGATATTTATGATATACAAACACCTAAACAATACCACATTTTTTAGATATCCTTACCCAAAATTTGTTACATTGACGATAATTCTCAAAAAATTCCCAACAATTTCCAGTTTCTCTGTGACGATAGTTATCATCTACAATACATTGACGTGACAACATTTTCTCCTGAAATAAAAACCGACAAGTTGAACCACCCAGTTTCTGTATGACCATAATTTCCTTGATTATGTTTGAATGAATTGAAAATAATATAGCATAGAAAATAATGGGATCTTCTTAAGGTTGACTGAAAATTTAACTTTGAATATTTGTGAAATGAGAGAGAAGATTCAATTCTGAGCTTCCTGACATTTAGTCTAAAACATCTAGGTCTATTCAAGCCTCCGATAGATATTTTGACAGTTATCGGCTGAAAAAGTCAGAAAAACTATATCCTGTTTCATGGTGATTTTCCCCACTATATAAGATGCATTTTTACTAACATAATATTAAATTATCTTGTTTGTATCATGTGACTCTGTGACTTGAACTTTTAACTGTGCAGTTTTAAATGACTGACAAGAGATCAAGTTCATTAAATAAAAAATTTGATGTAACTATTACAGAGGTAACATAAATGTTGTAGGGGGATTGTGACGGAATGACTGAACTACAAAAATATCCTATTTTCCGAATATATCTGGTTTTTGAGCATCCAATTTAAATAGTTTAAAAAACCAACAAAACCAAAATTTCCACAAAACACTGCCTAGTTTATCTGTCTCTACACCAGCTGACATCTTTCAAAATAACTATCAACTCAAAGGCTGGTATAGAGGCAGATGTTTTGATCTACCTGACACTGGTCAGAAAATATGCTACTAGTAGGCCCTACTGTGCTACCACAGTCAGATAAGGATTGAATTCTGTGAAAATTTCGACTGAAACTCTATTCTGTAAAATCATATATCTCACAATTGATTGACACAAAGACAATCTAGTAGTAGTACTACTTAGTAACAAAGCTAATATGGTAATAAACCATACTCAATTTATTTTCAAAATCCCAGATCTGCTTCCCAAAAAACTCACCTCGAAACAGGGATTTCTCTGTCTCATTAATTCCATTTTATCCCATTTTCTTTGTTCACGCTCTTCCTTTAGCTGCTCCTTTCGGAGACGCCTATGTTCTTTATCGTCTTGGTTCATGATGAAATTATCCTTCCTCTAGTAGACAAAAATAATAGGCTTGCAGAAATTATGTAAACTTTTAACAATTTGTTGACATAGTGGGACCTCCATGTTGACCACAGGGTTTGTAAACTCGTGGAGATCAAGCAATGATAAAGACGAAAGTATCTTCGTCGAAACGTTGCAAGTTATTTATTAAAGTAATTGTTATCCATAAAATTATGTTCATATATTCATACCTCAAGTACTTAATGCCACTCAAGGAAGTCCTAATGTATACTTAATAACTTTTACACATCGACCGGATATTCAAATTCATTACAACAGTGCCCTGTGTATTTAGGAATTCCTTTAAATGACGTAAGAGGGATATCCCAGTCCCACAATCCTTCACGATTATGACAACCTACTGGGGCAAAGATAGTTTTCCTCGCTTATCTTTTTGCTTTTAAAGCTATATTATGCCTTTACTTGATGACATCTATGTTGTTTTAGCAGTGTACATCTGAATTCTTACATTTAAACATCTGTAAGTATGTATCGATGAGTCGTTAGGAATATTTGAAGGGAAATTATTTGTTATCTGAAATAAAATATCCCTGCAAGTGCCCCAAATAAGGAAATAAGGAGACAAAGTGTACCTTGTTGAGTTGAATGGTCTCCTAAATTAAAGATAATTATATAAACCTAAAAATTTATCAAAATGAAATTAAGCTAATGAACAATGTATGCAGAAATGGATGTAAACTGTTTGGGATCAGTTCTCCTAATCATTAGGCCCATAGGTTTTCTGGACAACACTAACAACCGTATATTAAGCTAAAGACACTGAGGATTAGGACACTATTATTTCTTAGAGTTCTTGAGGAAAAAGGAGTGTGTTAATTGAAACTATTGATTTAACAATTGAATTTGGTATTTCAGAATTTTTAGTTGGAAATGTCTGAGGATGGAAACTCGAGCTTAAGAAGTAATCAGATAAATTGTAAGTACAGTTATCACTTTTATTGTGACATCATTTGTTATTGTTACATTTCCATGTGAAAAATGATGTTCACAATGTTCTTAAGAGTGATGACAACCTTAACCTATATTGTCAGGTAACCAGACATAAAATTTCAATGAAGCAAATTTTAAGTGACAACTTTCCTTTCAATTATCACAGACCTACATTGATATCCAGGAAAATTTAAACTTGTAAGCTGTTACCTTAGATTGACTTTTTTAATTTTTAGGGTGCCACAAATGTGAAACATCTTTCCCACAAAGTTGTGAGTTACATGGTGTAATAAATATCATACAAGACAATACAATACCTGTTAAAGCTTTATATACCCTACCATCTCAACTTTATGTTAAACTTGGTGGTCAAAATAGTAAGTACATTATTGTCAAAAAAGGTTTACAAGGATAAATAAAGCATAAGCTCCTTAATGGAAGATTTTTGTATATGAAACTACACAATTTAAGATAAAATGGCTTATTTATGATTTGAATTGATATGCATAAATATGGATACATATTGTTTTGGAATTAGACGAAATATGTAATTTCTTGGAGTTGATTTGGGTCCTGAATTTATATAATAATTCTTCAGAAGTACTAGCAAATTGCATAATTCCTTAAAAACAGACGAAAAGTTGGCATTTTAACTTTCAAATGCAGATTATTTTGAACACATATGGATTTGAAGCCTCAAATTTCAATGATCTGTGAACTAAATAGCTTATTTGAAAAATTTCTTTTCTGAGACATTGTTCAAAAGAATATAAGCATATTTACAGACATTTCTGACAAAATTTTATTTAGGCTCATCTCATACCATTGGACATTTTTCTGAGATGAATTCAAACTTTCAATAATGATTAGTTATTTTAAACTTTAGAAGAGTAAGAAATTGAATATTGATTGTTTTTTTTTTATATAGGGAAGTCCTCAGGTGTTTTTGCTAAAGATGATATAGTAGCTAGAACACAGTTTGGACCAGTTGATGCTGTCATAGATTGGGGACCATGTCATGCTAAATCAGACAGTTTTGAATTAAAGGTTTGTTGATTTCATAGACATTGTGAAATAGTTGTTTTTAGATCGTCAATTTCTTCCATGCAGACATTAACCACGGGTTTTTTATTCTGAAAAACTAAAATTGGCAAAGCAAATATGTTGACTTTCCTTGAAAAGGAAAGGTAGTAGTCTAAACAGGGTCATTACTCAGAATTCAAATGGATTTTGAATGAATGCAATGTTTGTTCTATATTACCTTCCAGAGTCAGTTACACATACAACTGTTGAAATAATTGATTTTAATTGAATTGATTTAGATAGAAGAAAATGGTGATCTAGTTAATCTAGATTTAAAGAATGAAGAGGAATGTAATTGGATGATGTATATTAGACCTGCTACATCCTCTCTTCATCAGAATTTGGTTGTCATCAATCAGAGCAATTCTATTTATTATATTTCCACAAAGGTAAATATGCTGCTTATTTCTGACCATTCTGTCATCTTTCAATGGCTCATTTGCAAGAACAGTGGTTTTCAGACTACTACAGCTGAAAGCACATAGTCAGGTAAAAGTTAACAGAATCTAGGAATAGATGGAAAATGTCCATAAAAGCACTTACTTTGTTCACAAAGTAAAAAGAAAAAACCCATCAAAACATTTTGGTCTATAAATTATTATTGATAAAAACCCTATTTTTTCAACTCTTTGCGTGTTGATGCCTTGTTATTGAGACTGACTGATAGGGTAATAGATCTGAATTACACAAAGATTCTATTTTAGCCTATGCTGAGTTTTGTGTGCATAGGTCTCTTTAATGATATTTGATGTCCTGTCCAGCCTTGATGATGAAAAAATTTAACATTGTTCAGTTTTGATAAAATACCACCTTATTGAATTAAATGGTATTACTATGATGTTTGATGCTTTATTCACAGAGAATTGAGAAAGATACTGAATTAAGAGTTTGGTATGGAGAAAAATATGCGGAAAGAATTGGAAAAAACTTTCTGATAAAAAGAACCAAAGTTAAAGGTATACAAATGATTTTACAAAGTGAACAAGAATGTAATATGATGCCTATACTTAATCAAAACCAGTGTATTGTATTTGATACAGACTTATCTAAACTATTTTTTTTTTAGTTTAAATTTGAAAAACTTGGTTTCAGGGTTCGAAGAATGGGACATCATTGGAGATTATGAGAAAGGAAATGAGCATACTAAAGAGTATATTGCAACTGATAATGTTGAAAATACTGATGATGACAATGAAAACGAAGATGGTGATAGTGATAATGATTTACCAGATAATGTGAATTACAATGATATGCCAGTAATCTATGATCTTGATAAAGATAAAGTTGAGCCTGACCCAGATTATGAGCCATCCATGAAGTCACCTATAAAGAGAAGAAGAAGTGCAAGAATCACTTTGAAAAATTATAAGGGTAAATCAAAGAAAACAGTTACTAAAAAATCCAAGGAAGTCAAAGTTACACCAAAACGTTTGAAAGCAGAAATTAAGCCAATAAAAACACAAAAGCCCCCACGTTATGTTTGTAGAATATGTGATGAAGGTTTCACGCGTGAAACTAATTTTCAGGCTCATATAGCAACACATACAGGAACATTACCATTTATTTGTAATGTAGAAGGATGTAATAAAGGTTTTAAGAATAAATATCTTTATTTACGGCACCAGAATATTCATCAAAATGGACATATGCTGTCATGTCTGTACTGTGATAAAAAATTCAGAAGAAAAGATCATCTAAAAAATCATATGCTAGTCCATGATCTGAACAGAAATATCTGGAAATGTGAACAGTGCAATAAAATATACATGAGATATGAACGCTACAAATTTCATCTTGCTTTGCATCATGCTAAAGAAAGTGAACCTCCACACTGTGTTTTCTGTGAAAAGGATTTTGAGTCAAAAGAAAATGTGATTTTTCACTTAAACAGTGTTCATAGTCGTTATAAATCTATTTGTGGTAAAGAAAGACAAATTAAATGTCATTTATGTGATAAAATGTTTCTCACTAATCAAGATGTACAGAGACATATGATAACCCACACTCAGAAGAAAGAATTCCTCTGTGATATTTGTTCTCAAGTTTTTGGTAGAAAAGATCATTTAACACGCCATATTAAAAATGCTCACCCTGATGGCTTGGTGAAAAAAACTAAACTTAAACCAGTAGTATTAGTAACAAATGAAGCAGGAACTGACACTGAGAAAAGTGAAAGTCTTGTGGAAAATGTCAGTCAGAATGTACCAATAGCAATAATACCAAACGTAGAACCACTGTTAATATCTAATCCTAATGAAGGTAGCCATCAAGGTCGTTTTATACCACCCAGTTATGAAGATGTGAATCGTAAACCAGAAGAAATGTCCACCAATACTTTCATACCTACTGTTAACTTGACATCAACACATAGTTTAGTTACATTGTTAGATCTGGGTACTAGACAGAGTGTTCATAATTTATCACTTACTCAAACTGATAATCCATCTAACAACTTTCTCAATCCACAATCTTCTCAAACTCCTTATTATTCTATATCGGATCATTCTTATATGATAAACTCTCAGAGACCTGATGGAAGCGATAATAGTAGTGTTCCAGTACAAACTAAAACTGTAGGTGATCTGTTGTGGGATTCGGAGGAATTGAGAAAACGTGAATATGAAACAGCTAGTTATTTACAAAGTTTTGCTAGTGGATGTACATTGTCTATACCTAGTACTAGTTCTGCCAATCATACACCATTATCTGTTTCTACACCTCCAACATCTCAGTTATCTTGGGATACAGTATTAAGCTATGCCAAACAATTAACCAATAATAGTTCTTCAAGTTAATTAGATAGCATGTACACAAGTCAAATACATTTTATATAAGCAAGTAAAATAGTAAAATATCTTATATTTAGAGATGAAATTAATAAACATTGATTTTGATATTTTTTACAGTCAAAACTTTAAGTGCATTTATATATATTTTTTGTTACTGTACCAATCTTTGTGGTGAATATTAGTATAAAATCCACAAAATCACAAGTGTCAATTTCGGTGGGAGTTCAATTTTGGTTTTTTTAATAATTTATGAGTCCATCCTGACATTGCTAGATATTCTATGTCCTTTTGCCATACACAGTACCGAAATACAGTCGAGGGGTAGGCTTGAGTTACAGAGCAGGGAAAATACCATATCCCTCGACTGTATTGTAGTGCCATGTAGGGCACAGGGACATCGCAGAATATTTTGCAGTACATGTATCTTGATCAATTCATTAATGGTTCAGCCATGTCATGGTGAAAATTCTCAAAAACTAGTGACTCTTTTTTTGTGTCAAAAAAGAGTTGGAGCAAATCCCATAAAAGTTATATGTCTGGCCCTAAACTCAGTTCCAATATCCCATCTGAATACCACGTGGAAGGAACTGGGTAGGGCCAGGTTGCTGCATTTGCTTCTTTTAATAGTATCCAATCAGTTTGATTCCACTGAACTGTTTGTACAACTTGGTCTGCCACCTCAGGTGCCCTTTAGCACATAGCTAAGAACGTTTTCTAAGTTTCTATTTTATATCTATTCTTAACATTGTAAACGTTCTCTGTTTACATTTTACTATAGTTATATTGTTTATTAGTGCTTTGTTATTTATCAGTATTTTGTTATTTATATTTTATTATATATCGCTGGACTATTAGTATTATTATAGTGTTTACTAAGATATCTGTCAAATAAAAAAAAGTCTTTTTATTGAGGGTTTGAATTTTAAAGCCACTCCATGATTTTCGGAAGATCTTTTTGGGAATGACCACTTTGTTCAATGTGGGATTGTTGTATAATTGGAAATACAATGCGCACTCTTAATAATCTGGGTTAAAGATGAGTTTTTCCGGGACTAAATGTCCAACCGGAACGATAACGTGCCCCTTCTCTTTTCCTCTTTTTACACCTAATATTATCAAATTACAATTTACTATATTTCAAGAGGTGGTCTTTCCTCGTAATTTTTATTCAGACTAACTACATGGGTATGTCAGTAACAATGGATTTTAAAGAAGTTGTACAGGTGGCATTAACACTGTATGGTGTAAAACCCATTCCAATCATATGGTGACATTGACAAACACTTCCATCAGCCATTACGTGTGGTTTATCAGCAGACATCAATGTTCCATCAGGTAATCTACAGTTGGGTCCTACAAATAAGTAAGACGTGACAATTTGAAAGTGCTAAATAGCATCTTCAGACAAGTTAAATAACGCCATTTTAGATTCTCGAGACTCTTTGATAGTGATAGATATCCATGTACATACTTATGTATCTCAAAAAAGTTAAAGGATAGATATATATCAAATGAAAGCCCCCAAACAAGAGGGGATCGCATTTAAATTTTAAATGCAAACAGAACTGCACGCACTTCACTGCACTGCAGACTTAAATCTTTAGATCACCTCAGTTCTAAATCTCCTATATTTCATATTCTATATGACTATGTTAAAGGAAGCACGCACTTACCGTTTGGACAGGTCGAACAACATTGATCTGGATTCCTGACATAATCAGCACAATTGGGCATCATACAATCTATGACCATACAGGCCATTAAACCACCTTCGGAACAGAAACATGGTTGACAAGGATTATCTCGTACCTTTTCTCCTACTTTATAGGTTTTACCATTCCTTGTACACGTTTCTTTAATCATTGGTCGTGTAAATTTATCAGCACAGGCAAAACACACCAGCCCTAAAGTAAACATTAGTATTACAGATTTCATCTTGTTTCCTTGATCTCCAAACCTCCCCTGTTTTCAAAAACCTGCTCGAATTCTTCAATATAGATCTTATCTTTCATATCTTATCTCTGGGAGTTTATATATGGCATTTGAAATTTAGTCTACTTGTTAATATTCAGCCTGTTTTACACCATTTTTTCAGAGGGTTAAATAAACATCTGATCCTGGTATCACTTTGATACTTTGTTGTCAACTCATGGATCCTAAATGTCAGATTCCCCAGGGCTAATATTGTTCGTGGAACTATTGATATTTTCATTAGAATTTGATGAAAATTATGTTTATGCATAATGCATTTCGAAATGAAATGAGATATTTGGATCTCCTCAAGTTTTCACGAAGTTGCTGCTGAGTTATTCCACTTGATTTACATATTAAAAATACGTATAAATTTATGGATTATGTCGACTTACGGTGTCTTCCGTTTATTCGCCTTTTACGGTAAATCATTGATTTCAGAAATTGTTTGGTCACATGTCTCCGTGATATTATTGTGGCACTCGGGAGATCAAAAACATTACTCACGTCGAATGAGCAAAAGGTCAGCCCAAAGGTTGCATTGATGCAAGTTCCCCGAAAAAGAGAATTTAAATGCTCAATGTCATCTCATGTTGTTTTTGGTTAGATACAATGTCTGCATATCCAGAAGAAATCTCGCAATTGTTCTTAATTTCATTATGACGTCAAAGTTTTGTTCTCAGTAAGGTGGATCGCTTTGCTGTCAGAAATGTAAAGAAATCAGTTGAAAAACGTTGTTAAAGATGTCGTCATATATTCGTGATGTTTATGAAATCTTGGAATCTATCCTGGATATTAATTCATCTATGGAAACATCGCCACCATTGGCAAATCTCATGTTCCTTGGTGCCTGTTACATGATCGCTTTTCCTGAAATGCGTTGGGCCCTAAGAAGGAGATTTTTAAAGAAGACAGCCAATTTATTATGTTTCGTTGGATGTGTGTGTGCTACATCTTTTCTGGTAATGGTAACAGCAGCAACTCAAGCCAGAGGTATTTATTGTAGATATTTGAAACCACTTCTGAAAGGAGTTTCCAACGAAAAACAGCAGGTTCTTGGAGTTATGTTAGTATCATTCTTTGTGGTATTTGACGTCTTCCTTTCAAGATCTGTTAAAAAGTCGGCCAAAGATATGATGACAACCTTTAAGAATTTGAAATCTTCAACTCAACAGACTACGGATGCGTTGGATGGAGTTGGTGGTTCCAATACTGCTAGTACCAAAATGATGAAACGGGTCTTAAGAAGCAGAAATTATTTACCACCATTCGATTGGCAGAAAATGACTAGGAATGGTACCGTTTATGGAGATTATGGTGGTAGGGTCTGAATTGTTCCTTTGAAACTATAAAGTGTACTGAACTTAATTACCCTAATACAATAAAATCACGAACGAATGTTACACAATAAATATAATGCCTCTGTGTTATTTACAAACGGTGGTGTAATAGTAGGAATGTAGGAACTGCAACGGTAGAATCCACTGTTTTGCAAAGACTATTTAATAACCGCAACCAATAGGTTCTTTTGACATGTTAAGGGTATCCTGGATTGAAAGTGTGCTGTAATGACCAAAAAAACCTTTATTCAAGTGTAAACTTTTATTGATTAAAATGTATACATGATTAAATTCATTGTATTTAATAATTTTGATTGAAAATATTTACAATAATTAAAATTCTTAACATTATTTACAAAGAAAATAAAAATGTTATTACACATTTATTACAAGATAGGTCTCTCTACAAACCAAACATATCCTTTAAAAATCCTATTTATACCATTTTCTACACTAACCATATAATTCATTGTGGGGTTTGATTTTAAACAATTTACTTTTTTCTTAAACTTTAACTCATTAACACATTTGATTAACAATTTGTAAAAAAAAAATTAAACCAAAAATATTATAGAGCACCAACTTAAAATGGATATTCTTCAGATGAATCAACAAAAGATTATTAACAATTGATGTATTACTAGTACATTCAATGCAAATCCTTAAATTGTACAATATTAATACCAGAACCCTGTATTCATTACCAACAGTTTAACATATCAACAATTATTTCATATTTAAAACTGGTAAGTATGTTGGTATTATTAGCTGATACTAGTAAAACTCAACGGTTCTTTACTAACTGAATTGACGACACATCTTGGGACATCTGTGACTTGTTCAACTTAAAAAGGATTGTATTAATATGACATGCCTGGCAAATATCAACAGTCCTTATTGAAACGACCTGCATAATATCATACAGATCTGTTTTATATTTGCACCAAATTAAGCCGATTACCATTTGACCAGACATTCATTAATTTTTATTTCAATTAATATGTCATTATGAAAAGTCAAAAATGTCTGCTGGTATTTGAACTCAACTCTTCTCTTCTACTTATTCTATTATATATTTCCCTTCATATATCTCATGACTGATATCACAGAACATTATTATCAAACCTGACTGTCTTACAACTAGAAACTATTAACAAGTATTTTAAGATCACATTCTACAGAAATATGATCATAACAATATTGAGTTATCTCCCATACTATATTTATTTTTCTTTGAGCTCTATGTACAGGTATTTCACATGTATTTAGAACATTAGCCAATCAAATAATCAGAAAACATTACTAATTTAACAATCTGATTGGTTAATGCAAAGAATGAAAACATTCTTATCAATCATTATAAACTAATTTAAAATCATAGTTTGATAATTTACAACAAATCATTGAACACTTTACATTGAAAGACTCTAATCTATTGGACTTAAAACGGAATGTAAATTTTTGAGGGGGTTGGATATCTCACATGTAGAATCTCTTCAGGGGTGACCTGACGCATATCCAGAGATTGGTAACCTTGCATTTTCATCGATTATTTTAACCCATTACAATGCATTATCACAATCTGGTTGAGGTACTGATTCATGCTTTAACTACTCAGAGCTCACTCTGTTTATGTGATCTTGTATCGAAATGTTAACCAAAAGCATCTTCTGAAGGTGGGACATATGAAAATCCTTCAAATACTCCATCAGCTTCAACTACACTAGCACTAACCATTTTACAACTACCATACTTTCCTATAGAAGCTGTAATACAAGAAGAAATTGATGACTGCAATGGCTAATGGCTAAATATATTTTATCAATTGAATTAAATACAGAATTTTTTATACAATGAACTATATATAGATAGCTCTAGATTGTTAAAACTATATATCTTACAAAAACAGACAGCAATACAGTCAAAAATATTACCTGGTACTGGTTCACGAACAAACTCAGGATCAAAATGTTTTAAATCGAGTTGTCCACTCTATAAAAACAATAATAAAATATGTTATGGGTAAATGAGACCAATTTTGTAAACGGTTAAACTGCAGCTCTTATAAAATATCCTTTAAAGGTCTCTTTGTAAGTTTTTCAAAATAAGAGATTCAACCTAACTTACCACATTTGGATTATATGGTGGTTGTATTTTACGTTTATCTAATTCATCCCAATTTATATCCATGAAGAAATCATGACCTTGAATTTCTGGAAAATCTCTTTTAGCCCCAAGTCGATTTTCTTTCTCTTTCTGTAATAACTGAAAAATATCATCAAAACAATTCAAATATTACATAACCAATCAAAATAGCAAAATATTGAATAAGGTAATGAATGCATAAAATGCACAATATGTAGGTTGAAGGCAACATTAAGCCATTAAGGCCATGAATTATACAATCTTTCAGTATACAAATAGTTGACAAGTATGCATGTATTGAAGATCATTGAAGTCTTAATGGTTAATATATTATTATACACTTAACCCTTACTAATAGTTGACAAGCATGCATGTATTGAAGATCATTGAAGTCTTAATGGTTAATATATTATTATACACTTACCCCTTCTAATATAGAGCGAGCAGCTGATGAGACATTAGTTCTCAGTCTTAATGGTTTATATAATATATTATCATACATTTCAGCTGTATCTCGACTATAAAATGGTGGCTGAAATAATAATTAAAATTCACTGGTCACAATAAATCCTTACATTATGCCACAATTTTGGATAATGTATCTTTTAATTTTTTAACATAATTGTAATACACTCTGTACTACTATGCTATCATTGATGAACATTAGCATAAAAAAAAACTTGAATGAACATGCTGAACTAATTGCTTTATTGTTTCAGTAAATTTTTATAAATCACAATGTCTTACAAATTTCGTATATATTATCACTTTAAATAAGAGTGTGAATAAGTTATTCAGCATTACAAATTATGATAACCTGAGCTAAGTAATATTACTTAAAGGGTATGACATTAGCATTATATGATGTTTCTTAGTAAAGGCCGTTCACCAGCTGCTTTTTTATATGTCACCTAATAATATGGCCGATATAGCTGCAGTTAGTGTAAAAGGGTTAAGTTGTATTAGGGAGATATATGATCTGGTATTTTTATCCATCATTTGAAGTTTCCATAAAATTTATTTATGATATATTTTTATTACACAAATAATATGTAGTATAAACATCAAATGCTGCTTTTAAATTTTGGAAAAAGATTTTTTACTACTTGGGGGTGAAGAAACAAACTGTTTTATGTTACTATATCTATACTGTATAACCTACTTTTATTAGTGATTTGAATACTGATATAACCCAAGGTTAAAAGGTGAAAATCATAACTCTGGTTTTTTTAAGTATCAGATTAAAACTATAAAATATATCATGATTTCATGAAATCATAAATCACACTCAGTTTCTTTATATTAATATTAGTCAGATTTATTTCTGTCTTCTGAAATATCACTCATTTTCTCTATTTAATTTCAGAAAGGATCTCAGTTTCTTAGTTTCAGTTTCTATTAATAAGGGGTAAATCACTCATTACCTCCTGCTTTGCGTAATATATTTGGTTTGCTGTCATTTATAAATGACATAAATTAAATAAATAAAATAAATTATAAAGACAGACATTTTACAAAAACTTGTGTTATGATGTCTACACATGCTTTAGGCAGGTCAGTAACAACAGCTCCTCAAAAAAGTAGGATTGATTGGTAAAAATATATATCAACAGCCCTTCTACATTACAGGTGTCAAAAGTTACATATCAAGTCAAAAGTTCAAAATAAAAAAACACAATGATATTGACAGATACATCATCTAAAAGAAATAGTGCAGTTTTTATCTAGACTAGAAATAAAACTTACCAAACCATACATCATTTCATATAATACAGCACCTAGACACCACCAATCTACAGTCTTATCATAGGGCTGTTTTCTTAATACTTCGGGTGCTAAATACTGATACAAAAACATTATATTTTTTTTTAAAAACCAATTCAGATTAATGCAATTAATATACAATCAGTGTTTATGAAAAGAGTTTAGTATCATTATTTGACAAGGCTTTGGCACTTATATCATAAATTGACAAGTTTTAATAAATAGAAATACATGTACTATGATTTTGTTTACCTGTTTGTCACATAGAGACATTTTTTGATTATGAAATTTAAACATAACATAACTCTTATGTAAAACTGTTATTATGTTTTGTGCAACTTGTATGTAATGATCATCACTTAGTCAGATTATTTCACTGTTACATATTAACATGATTATAGATTTTGACATGACATGATTCTAGGGTTTGATATAACATAATTCTAGATTTTGACATACGATTCTTTCTGCAAAATATTTTATAATAGCACAATAAAAATAACAAAGATAGCTTGCCAGGCAAGGTATTATACGCCCACTGATAGCTTTGTTTGAAATTGAATATTTGTTAGAAAATAGCAAACATAGACACCAGGAAATATTCAACTTATACCCAAATCCATCACAAACTGTGCCATCACAAGTTAAAAATCAAACACATTTGTAAGAATAACGGCAATAACTTGTATTTAATATTTCAAAAGGTTTAGTTTTGATTGTGATCAATTTCATCAAGTTGTCAAATTTGTTTTAGACTTCTGCTTTGTAGAATAAAAATTACGTGTTTTACAAGATTTTTGATCAGATTTATCCTTGGGTGATTTCAATAAGTCAATAATTGTGTATTTGCAGATTATATTCAAGCAAATTAGGTTGAAATATTTTTTTTAAAGTTTTATGTATCGAGTTTATGACAGGTGGGAGTTGCTAATATTTACCACCATTTTTCTCCTGTTGAATTTAATCTTTTTATATCCTTACATTTTTTTTCTCGAAGATTTGATTAGTTTGCATGAAATGCAATGGATTTGTAAGTACACTTGATTGCAGCTGTCTTGGCTAATAAGGACAAGAAAAGAATTGAATTTTACTATTAAGACAGTCAAGAATTGTGCCTCCTAAAGTGTTTACCAGCTAAAAATTGAACGCCGTTTTCGAGAACAAGGGCAATAATTCATACTACATATTTTTCGTTTTCCCTGATTTTTCTATAGGGTTTATCCTTGGGTGAATACGAACACTCATACCAAGTTTCGTCAAAATCTGTCAAGAATTGTGCCTTCTAGAGTGTTTACGAGCTAAAAATTGAACGGTTTGCAAGAACAAGGGCAATAATTCATACTAAATATTTTTCGATTTCGCTGATTTTCAATAGGGTTTATCCTTGGGTGATTACAAACACTCATACGAAGTTTCGTTAAAATCCATTAAGAATTGTGCCCTGTAGAGTGATTACGAGCTAAAAATTGAACGTGTTTTCAAGAACAAGGGCAATAATTCATACTTAATATTTTTCGATTTCGCTGATTTACAATATGGTTTATCCTTGGGTGATTACAAACACTCATACCAAGTTTCATTAAAATCCTTCAAGAATTATGCCTTCTAGAGTGTTTACGAGCTAAAAATTGAACGCGTTTTCAAGAACAAGGGCAATAATTCATACTTAATATTTTTCGATTTCGCTGATTTACAATAGGGTCTATCCTTGGGTGATAACAAACACTCATACCAAGTTTCGTCAAAATCTGTCAAGAATTGTGCCTTCTAGAGTGTTTACGAGCTAAAAATTGAACGCGTTTGCAAGAACAAGGGCAATAATTCATACTAAATATTTTAGTATGACGGACGGACGGACGGCCGGACGGACGGCCGGACGGACGGACGGACGGACGGCCGGACGGACGGACGGACATGGGTGACGACAATATACGCCCCCCATTTCATGTGGGCGTATAAAAATGGGTTAAACTTACTTCTGGAGTACCACAGAAAGTGGATGTTGTCCCCATTCCCTCTATTCCTTCCTTACATAAACCAAAATCTGTTAACACAACATGTCCTTTACTGTCCAGTAATATATTCTCTGGCTTTAAATCCCTGAAACATGAAAACATATTATAATATTATTAAAGTTAATATCAAATGATCAAGTGGTAATACATATTATCAGAAGTAAACTCAATATACGAACATTCTAAAATAAATACAGAAATGAAAATTGGGCATATATTTAAAAAAAAAAATATCTTTGAATCATAAAGTATCATGAGTGCAAATGGCTTGGAGACATAATCTGTAGTTTTATTACTGATTTATATACAAGAGAGATTCTGTTAACTTTTAAACTGAAGTTTACACATATAGAAACTTAAAAAAAGACAATTTTAACTACCATGATATCAAAAGATGTTTATTTTGAAAATGTCTAGGCTACTATCAGCATTACATAAAATAAAGAATATGTAGTAAACTGAAATTGGTGTATAGAATATCATAGATCAATAATGGAGTTCTTCGTTTCACATAAAAAAAAATGAAACTGATTAAAATGCATATTCAAAGAATATTTTCAATAAAACAAGCACTAGAACTGTTCCCTTTACAGTACTGATGCTGTAATGTTACGACATTAAGGTACATATGAAGGTGGACAGAAATTTGGATAAGAAATAAGAAATTTGGTAACGTGCATACGCACAACAAAAATTCAGTATTTCCGTAAAATTTAGAATTTGATTTTACATATACATACCAAGTTTGGTGAAATTCGGATAAGAAATAAGACAGTTGGCAATTCACATGCACACTGCACAAATTCGACTTTTTCCTGCACATCACAAATCACATTCACAAGTATATACCAAGTTTGAAGAAATTCAGTTAAGAAATAAGAAAGTGGGTCAATTAATCGTTGGGCATGGTTCCAGGGTGCTTCAGTAAGCTCAACTTGCAGCTTGACACCTTTTAATAAACCCCAGAAAGTACTTGTATGCGCAAACTTGACATTGCGCATTTCTGATAGAAATTGGGGAGAAGGTATCTTTAACCGAAATGTCAAACTCAGTACTTTTATCTATACTGAAGTATAGACGATAAATGCGCACTCTAGAGCCCATTTCCATTATTTTGCGATCTCGCTTCCGGTTGCGCAGAAATTATCCGTTCAACATTCAATAGGTAATTTTCCTCAAGTTACGAACATCGGTGAAGTTCCTTTCTTCGTATCTGTTGTCGTTTTAGGGAAAAAAATCATTACTAAACAACGCCATGCAACTAGTGCTCATTTATTCTTCATTATTTTCAATACAAACATAGTGCTCATCCATTCTTCATTATTCAGAAAATTATGTTCTAAGAAAAATGGCCAGACGTCACTTGGTACTTATGGCATTAGAATGTGAGTGGTAAAGTGGTCAATAATATGAGAATGAACAGTATCAAGTATAACAATATTGATGCTAGAAATGGAGTGTGCTGTAGAAATGTAATTAAGAGAAGAGTGAATATCTAATCAAGTTCAACAATTCTCATCTAGGGGGTGTCAGTCATGTTAATCTAGTTAATCACTTAACCCATCTTTCAATCAAATCACTGGTTACCTAAAATAACACATCTCAAGATGTCTGATATCATTTCTACTTTCTAATCAAATTGATTTACAGAAAACAGAGAATCTTAGTTCTTATCTAGAACAAGCTACCATCAATGTCTTTAAAGCAGGGCCATAAATCAGTTTAGGGAAACAGTAATTCAGACAAGGTACTGGGCTACATGAAGCTGAAAGCTACAAGGTGAAAAATGCTTAAATTTGATCAATTAAAAAGTATTTTGTGCATTTTGATTTAAGTTGGAGCTGCCTTCTCTTTTTCATATAATGACATAATCTATGGCCGTTTTTAGAATATTCAATGCTAATGTGACAACAGAATTCTGATGCACAAACAAGAAAGAATGTATGTAATTATATGGCTGATCTCTTTAGACGGTGAAGTGCTCTATATTTCAAGTTCTAAATGATGTCACCAAACCCATTATTGTATTCAAGTGATGAAATGACTGTTTTGTGAGAAGCAAGGTGACATACGCCCACCATCAGCTTTGATTGCAAGTACAAATCATTTATTGTAGCCTGTGCAGTGAGCATGAGCCAAGTGTAAACGGACAGATGACAGCAATAAGCTTCCATACTACATGTGGGCATATATAAAGAATTGTTGCTTGAAGAGTGAATACACTAAGTTAAAAATAACATTTTGGTGAAATATTATCAGATCATCACGAAAATCGATAGGGATCATCTTCATAATGACATTGACACACAAAATAAAAATCAAAAGAATCAATAAAGAATTGTAACCTGTAGAATGAGAACAAGGCAGATGTGAATGGACCGAAGGGGCAATACAATATACGACTGTACCATAATGTGGGTGTATAAACAAGTGCATGAGCAATGACCAAAGACAAACCTACCTGTATATGATATTAAGAGAATGTAAGTAACCTATTGCACTAGCCATTTCAGCTGCATAAAATTTGGCACGTTGTTCGGGAAAATAACGTTCCCTTTGTAGATGGAAAAATAACTAGAAAACAACAATAAAGATTAAACATTTCAAATGTCTCTTGAATTTTCTACAAAATAAATCAAAATTAAATTTGATTTACAAGACAAATTCCAGGGTGATTTAATCTACAAGCATTGATATAATACGTATCTATGTGTCACCATTCATTTGTTATTCTAAAATGGTCTACTAGTTACCCAGTTTGTAGAAATGTCATCAAATTTGCCATTTGAATGATGAAAAACATAAAGTAGAATCTGCAATGAAGCAAATCTATTGAATTGATTGTAGTCTACCATGATCCTAATATAAATTATTGATCATTCTCTAGAGTGTTCTTCTAGACTGCAATTAATTCAAAATTAATCACAAGAATTGCTCTACAAGCATCAACAACATGTGTTTTCTTTCATCTAATAACAAAATACTGGTAGACACATTATTAAATTTCTTCCCACAAACAGACGTGAGATAAATATTCTGGTGGCATGTTAACCTCCATTTGTTTTCTCATCTCAATAGATTTGGCTGGAAGAGTTACTGCACTGAACTTACATGTTCAAACTTTTCAAATCCACAGAAATCTTTTAACTCAAATGAATAAAAAATTTGATTTGATTCAATTGCAGGTACAGTCTTTATAAAGATATAGTCAACTAAGAATTTGTTTAACCAGCTAAGAGAGCCCATTTTCAACTTTCTTAATCAATATTATCTAAACAATTTTACCCCTATTAAAGGTTCACCATATTCTTAAACAGTGAATTTTGATAAAAATGAAATCTTTAATTACCTCTCCTCCATTAACATAATCTAACACAAAATACAGTTTGTCTTTAGTTTGGAAAGAATAATGAAGTCCAACTAAAAATGGATGTTTCACATTTTTTAACAGTACATTTCTTTCTGACATAATATGTTTCACTTCATTTCGTTTCATGATAGCCTGTTTTTGTAACACTTTCACTGCATAAACTTTGGATTCTTTCTTATGTCTGGCTAATAAAACTTTACCAAAACTTCCTTTTCCTATAACTTTTAAAAACTCAAAGTCACTTGGTTTAACACTGAAAATAAAACATAGTCACATAAATAGTCAAACTGATAAAAAAAAATACATAACATATAAAGTATGGTTAATCAATGATATTTAAGCGTATCCTGAGATGTGTCCATTTCATTTTGAGTATAATGAATGTTAATTGAAACTTTACAAGACACACCTCTATCTTGTTCACTAACCATACCCACTTTCCACTCAATTTTATAACCAAATTTTAAAGCCTTAAGTTACAGCTTGACATCTAGCACTTAAAACATTTTGTAATATTTTTTAACCAAACCATGCTTCTATAAAATACTAACCTTGACTTTTCACTGGGTCCCAGATTAACTGGGTTGGGGTCTTTACCATTCTGAAATTATAACAAAAATACACATATTTTATTATTTAAGAAAATTAAAATCTATTCATGATTCAATTATCACTATGTTGATAAAGAGCAATATGATTTAAATATCTAAATCAATAACACATTATCTATTTCATTATAAGAACCAAGAAACATTTCACAGGACTAACCATTCTACACAATATATACCAATGATACTAGAAGTTAGTGTTTTATTGCATATTGGACACTTTTTAACCTTATATCCTCTCCTTACTCAGCCTTTTAAGTTGTGTACTTAAATCTTGAAGCACTAATTGAAATTCAATAAAATTTTCATTGAATTGCTACTGTTATGAAATAGTGGTATCAAGTTAGAACTTCTATATACAGAAGTGATGTAGAATAGGTCACAGTGATCTTCAATATAATAGATTAATATTCAAGTTTAAACTACAGACTTTAGAAAATAATAACATTGCTTCTGTGTTTTAGATCACAGTGTGTGTTTTTTGTAACATGTAATTTGTAAGCATCAAGGCTACCATTTGCAAATTTTGAAGACATTGATATATGGTTTGGGAGTTCAGTTTTATTGAAATTTGAGGTAATGTATTTAGAATGTAATATTATTGATGATTTTAAGAGGCACCATTTTACCAAGTAGTTGCTTTACAGTTGAAAAAGAGTTTAATTCCCATTTGTACTCAAATATCAGTCATAACTTTCTTTAATATGCATTAATTAATAAACATATCATATATATCATTCCATCTCAGTCTCGACAATGTAGCCTACTTCCATTAAAGGAGAAATCAAATCTGCAACTTCAAGCTTTTGGTTACAGAGTGAAAAAGTTTTTTGAATATTTCAAAATGGAATATGCCAAAACAATATATCAGAAGCTTTTATATTATTGACATACTGGAATAAATTGTGTTTTGAACAGGGGGGTCAATTCCTCAATTATTGTTACAGGTAGTGGTGGCTCAGTGAATAAGAAACTGGCTTACTAACTTGAAGGATTTTTTTAACCTGTTAGTGATACAGATGGGAGAGGCTGGCATCATTTGGATGGGACAATAAACTGTGTGCTTTAAAGTTCCCACTTTGAAATCGAAAAAACTGTGTGCGTGGAAGAATATTTTGCCTGGATAGTCCTAGAAATATCCAGGCAAAATATTCTTCCTCGCACACTTCATGGCGGTGCTTAATCGTGTACAGAAAAGTAGGACAATCTTGAATCCAGTTTTTTAACAACAAAGAAAAAGAATAAAGTAGACCACCTGTTTATAAGAAGAATTGATTAGAAAGTTGATCATTACCAAACTGTAATCTACTCTATTCTATGTTCTACCATTGATTATAAATCACTATTATTCATCATTCTACACCAACTATGTAATATACACATCTCACTATAATACCTTTCCAACACAAAAACACTGAATATACTTCTAGAGTTCAGTCTGATCACTCTTTCAACTATCTAACTTTAAAACTTAATCAATAATCAGCTCCTTAGTTTTCTTTGAACAGGTGCAATACACCATTTAATTGGAGAATTTCTCCACGATTCAATAGTTCTCCTCTTGCATCAACCTAATATCATTTTATCTAACATCAAATTTAAGGAATTATAAGATGACTTTGGCAGACACTATAATAATGGTAAATTTCTTTAAAGTCATGATCACACCAATATACATGTATCTACTACTAAATCTAGAAACTCTTGTCATATGGATATCTTCCCCATATTTCCAATATTTAAAACCAAAATGTTAAAAAAAATAATAATTTGTCAGGTAACTTAGACATAATCAAAACATTGTAAATAACTGAGCTACAGCCTGACTGGAGAAAGATTCAAGATCATGGATATGAAGAGAAATAAAATGGAAATTTCAACTTTAAGACACTAAATGCAAAATAAATCATGACAGATGAGTAGGAGGTCCAATGGGATAATGTAAAGGGCATGAATGGAAGAAATGTATACTCGAAGCTTACTAAATTACAATGATCATCTGAAGAATAGTCTCCAAGAGAGACTTCTATCCAAGAATCTCAGGTTGAGTAATGGGCCTATTGATGGATGTATATTTTCCGTTCCAATGGAGATTTATTTTTCCTCTTTTCTCTGTACTATTATCAAAGTCATTATAGAATTGAATATGTCTGGACAGAAGAGAGTGAATGTGACCATCAAATCAATAATCAATCAGTATTTTCTATAATAAATACAGCCAGGAGATATTTTATTATTATCTATACAATAACTGTAAGCTAATATTCTAAAAGCTGTATCTATATCAGCTTATTTACTTTCCATGGACTCTTGTTTTCAAATTTTGTTCATGATACAGCTGTTTCATTAAATCCTTACATCATTTTCGTGGAAATAAGAAGGCATATGCTTTTTGATATGCTGACTATTGTCTTTAATGGGATCTGTTCAACATTAGTCTTACCCTTATTGCTCAGTCCACTCAGACAAACTAAATATAAGCTACAATGAACTTGACAAGTTTGCTGGAAATTATATTGTCAATTTACTCCCAGGATCTTTCAGATTCTATTAGAAGCTGCTAGTCGCTAACAGTGATTGAGAATTAAGTTGTTTTCAGATTCAGCTAGTCTTTGAGTTTACCAGAGTTTCTCTGATAAACATGATTGTTATTACCAGTATAACTAACATATAATATTAAACTGTTGGAGTCCTCAAGTGTCTCTCAACACATTAACAAAACATCATGATTAATGAATCTAATATTATATAAAGAACACCATGCATGATGTTATAAGAAGTTGTCTTTATAACTCCTACACTCTATCAACCTATCATGAAGAGTATTTGAATGTCAAAGAATGACGTCTTTTTACATCCTCTATCCTTTCATTGTTTATTTCTAATCTGAGTATAAACTAGATAGATCCTTGATAAGATCAATCAATTAACTTCTGGTAGCTTGAGCCTAAGACACTGAATATAGCTATTTATTAGCCTGCAATAGTGACATATGAGGTCAATCTCATTCAAGCTATTCAGAAGAGACATATTACTTCAAGATCTAACAGTACTGTGTCTTAATTCAGTATAAATCAAGTGAAGCTAATTAGTCATTCAATTAATTACTCTGGAATATTCCTGGAAGTCACAAATGTCATAACTTGTGTCTTGTAAACTTTTTCATGAATTAAGGAGAACCAGATATTTCTGATATTGAAATACAATTCATTCAATGCTGGGTGAAATGCTTCAGTGGGTTTAAGCCTTCAGTCATCAACAGATTGAATGAAACATAGCATGCACTATATAAAAAGAAAAAAAGTGAAATATGCACATTAAGTACAGTATACTCTTAAAATAATGGAGAGGAAAGGAAATGACAGTTGCCATAGATACATATATATCTCAATAAACCAGTCAGCAACTGAGTGACATTAATGCACATAGACAAATAATACATTTAGTTGCATTATCCAAATATGGCAATATACTTATTCACCTAGCCGTTGTTTGCCTACAGGTTTAAATTCTTCAAGAAGTAAACATTTGACTAACATTGATTACATCATTAAGTGCAAGATGCCTACAGCTAGACATTTTACAAGGTTTGCAACAGTACTAAAGTCTTGTAAATGAGATGGACTAAAACTAGACTACAGTGTTGAACAAGGGAAACTCAGTATGATGAAAGTACTATAACATGGAATAGCATACTGTATCACTGATATTATAAATTCTCCCTGCAATCCCTATGTAAATTTCTCTGAATAACTTCCTTTCCTACTGGATGACACAAACTATGAATTAAGAAGTTATTTATGTTGTTAAGAGCAATGGGTTCCATCTTCTCATTATAATCATTTTAATCTTGAAGTCCAATTCCAGACTAAAACAGATGATGTACTTAGTTACTGAAGCTGGTTGATTAACAGAAAACAATTGTCTAGGATCTTAATACCTGGCTAGTAGTCTGATGTTAACTACATGTACCCCTGCCATCAGACTATAAATAATTACAAATGGAATAAAAAATACAGAACTAGAGTAGAATGAAATAACTTTTGATGGCAGATACAATCATAACATTACTGTGCTCTTTTTCATTGTTATTGAATAATGGATACAAAAAAACTAAACTCTTTTTTTTTTGTATCTAGATTATGTGTGATGAAATTGCTCTATTTTGAATTTGATCTCAACATATATATGATATGTTTAAAAAATTTTAACGATGGTATGACAATTATGTATGAAGTTGAAAAAATGCCAATGACTTGGTCTGAACAGTGAACACTTGGGATGATCCTTCTATATGAATATTTTCACCCTGAATTATAATTGAAAGATTATTGTGACATGCTAGGATTACAATTTTGTATTTATTTTAACAGTGCACTAACACAATTTAAATATTGCTATTCACTATTTTGGTATATTTTTCTGTACTAGTTTATATTTTTGCATCTCATTTCCTGGGGGGGATTGTCAATTAGTTATTTCAATAGAAAGGCCTCTAGCTTATAAACAAGATGAATTAATACATTTAAAACTGTCAAATATACTGTACCATGTTTTCACTATCTGTAAATTGATCAGGATCTAAATGTTGCTGTACATTTCGTGGATTATCTAGAGACAGGAATGTTCTTACTTCAGGACTGTAAATATATAAATAAAAACAATTATAATGTATATATAACAAAATGTGCAAATATACAAAAATATACAATTGTGCTGTAAGTATGATACAATATGTGAATATATAAATGTATATATGCAACATATACATAGATCAAGCATCTAATTCACTGAGCTAGAATCGCTCACACAGAAAGCTAACAAAATATCTCACAACATTCAATATCTTATAAAGTAAGGGGGTATATTTCAGATGTTAAAACCAAGAGAAAACTTGGCAATAGAATCACCACTGAATTAATTTATAACAGTGAAGTCTTTAATTTGATAAAATATACATCTTATAGTGATTCCCTAGTGATAATTCAGACCTTAAATATATTTAATAGAATCTATTTCAGATTACTATTGCATCATCCTGCAAAGCATTTGAATTTGCATTTGCATAGAGTCTGCTACAAGAGTGAAAAGAGTCTGATAAAGTCCCTCATGTTTATCTTGAAAGTTTCTTTTGTGTCGTATGATGTACAGTCACAAGAAATTCACCTAAATTCTTTGAGAAACTGTGTTGACTATGACCTAATCATTAATATTGTATAAAGAATGGCAAAAACACAGTTACATAAACACATAAATATATAAGAATGTCAGCAATACTGATAGTAAGAACTATTTTAAACATAGATTAAATATTGACCTTTAATATCATCTATTCAATCATATAATATAATGCTATCTAATCTAAAGTAAACAATATCTTTGGATGGATCTACTCTACTGGTAAAATTATTAGAGGCAATAAGTTAAGCTCCAAATGTGCTCATTTAAATTTCTAAGGTCTTTGTCTTGCAGTGAATATGTTAAAGCAAGCTCTGCTTTAGATATATGAACACACATGAAATATGCACAATGCAACAACAAAACAAACTAGAGTCTGATATCATATTGTTCTCCGACAATATTTTGTCATTTTATACACATTTTAGGCCAAGTGTCTTTATCAGCAGGACACTTCCCTAATCCTTTAAAGCTAAGTCAGAGATCAGATTTCAGAAAAATTTAAAAAGGCTATACATACACAGTCTCTAGTCCAGTTATAAACATCCACATTTCAAAATACACATCAACAGATTTAAACGCTAATGGAACCTCATGAAGTATTCGGGAAAGCGAATGAAAAGGAGAGAAAGATGATGGTATTGAAATAAGATCTAGAGAGAGAGAAATAAATAGCACTTGATCAATAGAATCAATAAGAGAAGTTTACTATGTAAAAATACTGGTATATAGTCGACTGGTAGATATAGCATTTCATAACATAGGAGACTCTCAGACAGTCTCTGTGAAACACACTTCAAAATTTCTTAAGTCTGAGTCAAGAAATCATGTCAAATGTTGTCTAAGGATGAAACTAAAATGTCTGTAAGTCGTATCAAATGAACCTCTTGATATTTTATTTTACCCTGTTTACTACATTCAGAACAGTATTTGTTAAAATCATACATTCAGTTTAATGAATGGAATGCTTAGATTCTGTAGATGAAACAATAACATACCATAATATCAAACTTTCTGAGGCACAATTTTGCTGAAAACAGAAAGTCATTTTATATATATATTTCTATTTATTGTCCACCTGTCAACAACATCTCTCAAATTGAAAAGAAGGAATCTACATACCAATAGTCCTTTAAATTCTACAACAGATTTTCATGTCCAAATGCCCAACAGTTTCCTGACTAAATCAAGCAAAAGACCAAAACCATCTAAATGTAGTTAAGACTTGTAAACAAGTTAGCCTACTAAGTGTTCAATTATGATTGTCCTGCAGTGTTTTTAGTTCCTGTCTACCTTATTATTTACAGTAATTTCCTCCTGCCAACTACATATTATTACAGTCTATAAATACAATCTACAGAAACTTTTCTTTCTACAATCTGATCAAAACATACGTCATAGTTAGCCTTTTACTTCAACTTTCAAAATATAAGTTAGATATATATAGCTACTATCAGATACCACTATCAGATGTACAATGATTTAGGGAATCAAGTTGGTTCACTAAGTTTGAAACTGTTTTAATAAAGCTATGTGATCAACACCAACCTAACTAAAACTTGACTAATTGCTTATTGCCTACTAATGTTGAAGCATGTTGCAAGACAGATATGTTTGGTTTTCAAGGCTGAAGCATGTGTCCGGCCAGACATGTTTGGTGTTCAAGCCAGCAATACTTTATTCCAAAAATTTCAGTTTTAGAAAACAACGATCATTTGTTAAAAGAGAAACGTATTGTTTTTATTACATAAACCAATATCCATGCATTAATCTGTAGTCAAATGATGAACTACAAGCTCCAAGATACCAAATCCATTTTTCTGAGAAACTAAATAAAGGAAATTGTACTTCTCATTTCACATTCTAAATTAAAAGCATAGCAATTCCATATACCATATGTTTCTTTCCTATATTTTCTCAATTTATAAATCATTAAAAACATACCTAAAGTTGAACTGAAATACTGTGACCCAGATAAAGAAGCACAGGCTATTATTCATATAGTTAAAATTTATTTCAAAAAGTGCACAATGGTTATCCAGAGGTCTTGCAATAGACTATATATCTATCTTGTGTCCCTTTCACATTTATAACACATTAGCTATTTTTACAAGTTAAAAATCATGAAAATATACCTACAGTTTTTATTGTGGATTATAACAAATCAATAAAACTATAAAAACACCCAATTTAAATCCATTCCATCACCTATATATCCTTTATTTACATAAAAAATATTCACATTTCAATTTGGTAAGATATTAATGTCAGTTACAATAGGATATGCATTTCAGTGTTAAGCCTATACTCCTTGTTTCAGTTGTCAAAATAATGACATCTATATTTCATCTGTACATGACCTATCAACCTCAGCTATATAAAGGTAAGGTCATATCATATACCTTCAGGGCAATATGTAATATGTCCTCATAAATAACAATAGAGCTCCAATCATACAATTTATAAACACAAGAAATCACATTTTTTTAAATTTTACTTTATTGGTAGATCAGAAAGGATTATATCAAGCACATTTCATCAGTCTTAGTGTGTTTACTTGTCATATTCAACTGGCATCTATTCAGCTAGTCTGTGACAAAATAACTCCCATAATACATGGACAGAAAACAGTAACACCTAAAAAAGCATTTGAGCCATATGCCATCAAAGCAATGCAATTTGTTTTACAAGTTAAACCATCTGTTAAATTTGAGATTTAACAAAACTCTTTCTGATATTCAACAAAATACATACTGATAACTTCTGATTACAAAATGATACAAACAAACTATTTTACCTTTCAACCAAATACATTGATTGATTCTGAAAAAGTATTTCTTTATTTCTTATTTTGAAATTCTTGGAGACAAGAAAAACTAATGGAATAACATAAACAAGAACAAATATTCATATTTCCAATAAACCTATAAATCAACAATGAAGGACTGAAAACACAGGAACAAAAGAAAACAATATTCAAGAGAATCAATATTTTCTAATCAAAATAACTTTTCTTATCAAAATAACAACTTTAATCAAGGGTTTTTTGTCTAGTGTAATATCAATAGGAAATTGTCAGCCTATAGTTCCACAGTCAAAGCTATTACCTATTATTTAAATAAGTAAAGTTTGATAACTTTTACATATATTGTATTATTACATTATTTAATGATTACTCTGCCTATAAATGTTGTTATTTTTCAATTGCTTTGTCCTTGTTTCCTGCATTCCAAAGGAATTGTGTAATTGTTCTTTATATTGTCCATATGTCTTTACAGCTAAATATTTTTGTGGTTCTAAATCATAAAATGAAAAAAAAATGTACATGATTTTATAAAGTTCAAAGCAAGAATCACCTGCTATAAAATCTAATAGTTGGTTATGAATCAATTTTATCATTGTAAGTTTAACATCATAATTACAATTTTCAGAAATGCACAACACTTACCATAATATCACAATATTAACAGCGAAAAGTAATCCAGAATCAAAATTCAATACCAATGGTTTCAGTGTTTAATATATGTAAATGATATGTAGAAGTTTGACTATAAATAGCAACATAATTTACATTATATAGCCTGAAGAGGGTGTCACTCTCTCTTATTAACTTTACCACAAATATTGTAATGTGAGGAAATATGACTTGACTAAACGTTGCCTACTACATAATTAATATTGAATAATTAGCTTGATTGGATAAATTATATTGAGTCTCAATAATCACAAGACTACAATACTATAAAGGGTGGTGCCTGATATACTAGACTTTCAAATTTTCACCAAATCTTTTAATAATTGATAGAATGTGATTTATAACCTTATGCATTGTATTGGGTTTGGTAACACTTGAAATTCAAAGTTTTTCCCAAATTAGTTTTGTTTTCAAAAGCTAAGAAGATGTAATTATAGAATTTCTCTTGATATTTTTCTTTGCCCAGATGTGGTAATAAAAATATGGGCACATGTGTTATAAGATATATATATAAAATTATGTAGGAGTATAACAATTATTAAATATACACCTGAGGTCATCTTAAAAAAATATATTGAACATTATCAAAATAAACTGGTGGGTTGAAATTTTAAGATCTTTTTCAAAATGTTTTTTCATCTTTAATTCCAAAGTTAAAAAAACTCCTGGGAAATTAATTTTTTCCTAGCCTAGTGCCATATAAGTAAGTGGTTTTAAACATTTTGTAACAGGCAGAAATTGAGTGTTCAGTCAACAAATACCACCAGAAACTTACAAATAACCAGATACAGAATTTGTTAAGCAACCAAACAGTATCATATTGGCTTTAGGAGAAATATTCAGTTATAACTAGTAGTCAAACTATACAGCTATAACTAGTAGTCCAACCATACAATAATAGCTAGTAGTCAAATTACACAATAATAACTAGTAGTCAAACCATACAATAATAGCTAGTAGTCAAACTACACAATAATAACTAGTAGTCAAACTATACAGTTATAACTAGTTGTCAAATTACACAATAATAACTAGTAGTCAAACTATACAGTTATAACTAGTAGTCAAACTACACAATAATAACTAGTAGTCAAACTATACAATAATAACTAGTAGTCAAACTATACAGTTATAACTAGTAGTCAAATTACACAATAATAACTAGTAGTCAAACTATACAGCTATAACTAGTAGTCAAACTATACAGTAATGACTAGTAGGCAAACTCTACAGTTATAACTAGTAGTCAAACTACACAATAATAACTAGTAGTCAAACTATACAATAATACCTAGTAGTCAAACTATACAGTTATAACTAGTAGTCAAATTACACAATAATAACTAGTAGTCAAACTATACAGCTATAACTAGTAGTCAAACTATACAGTAATGATTTAGTGAAAGTCAAAATATTCAGCAATGATTATAACAAACTTTCATAATGTTGAATATCTACTTATTAATCTTTGAGCCTTAAATGAATGGTTTTATGATAATTTCCAACTTAATTACAATATCAGTAAATAAATGATTCTAAACTAATATATACCAATTACCAACAAACAACTAATGAAAGAAACAAACAGAAGACTAGTTAGTTTTATCTATGGTCACAAAATAACCTTTATGAAGAATTAAGAAAATAACTGACCAATTAAACTGATAACTAGATCCATTAGGTAAATGCTAAGTCAGTAATTGCTTTCCCACTTACTGGTTTTACATGGAATGAGTTTAATTCTCAAGACTCAAGGGTCAAGGATAAAGGACATTGACCGATTCCACATTAATCAATTGATAAGTATATACATGTAGTTTCCATAATTCCCAATGCCAATGGTGACATGTAAAGAGATTTCTTCTAATTTGAACTTATTATAAAACAAACAAAATGTTATGAAACCTATCGAAGGTCATATTTTCTAACACAATGAGTTTGAAATCATGATTTTTGGACAAATAGGTCTTAAATAATCCTTTGGTCAATAAAACTCACATTAACATTAAAATCCTACTGATCTTTAGGCAGTAATGGCTTCAATTGATCGAAATTATAGAATTTTCTGACAGAAAATTTTAAGATTTTTAAACCTCTAAAGGGGCATTCTGCTTTTTTCGTAAAACATTTTCATTATCAAAAACGTTGTACATTATACCTGGAATTATTTCTTAAGTATATTTCTATAGATTTTGATTTATAGTTTACACAAATTTGAGCAAACAAAATTTTCAACGCATTGTCCCTTTAATCATTGATAATATTAAGATATTATTCAGATTTCTTCCTAAATTTTTGTTTACAATACAAAAATAGACCTGTTAATCTATATTAAGAGATATGTCCTCCCTCTGATGGTCACTAATTCAATAGAGTTGATAGTATATCCAACTCTAGGAAAAGACAAGAAATTACCCCATCTTTAGAATGGAAATAGACCATTGCCTACTCCTACAAGGTAATTAAGAATTAGTCAGTTGATTAACTATTATCATTACTATATAGTCAATATAATGATTATTATCTGGTGTTTATTGATCAACAGTCATTTTATATTCACATCCTATATTTACTAAATCTGACTTGGTTATTTAATTCTTTTCTTCAAAACACACATTTGACCTCATACTGGTTCAACAAGAAAAAAAATGGCCATCGTAATACCCCAAAATTGTAATGGCAGCCAAGTCGTCCGGGAGGTGATAATAGACAATTACACCAAATATTATCTAAATCAGTCCAGAATGTTTTTCTTTTGAGGTTTTTATGAACTAAACATTGAACAATAAAGAACATGTTTCTAAAAACAAGGGCAATAACCCATTACAATTTTTTGCTTTTTAATAGGGTTCATCCTTGGCTGATTCCACCAAGTTTCTATAAAATCTGTCGAGAATTGTGCCTTCTTGACCTTTCACAAATTAAAAACTCAATGCGTTTTCAAGAACAAGGGCAATAACTCATACTTGATATTTTTCGATTTGTTTGATTTTCAATAGACTTCATCCTTAAGTGATAACAAACCAATTGATAGGTCTAACCTTTCACCTCGGCCTGTGCTTTCGTAACTTCAATTATATTTTGTTGTTACAACCACACTTACCTAAAAATATTACTAACAAAGAGTTGTTAAATAATCAGGATATTGAAAACTGCAGAAATCCCTTAATAGTTTTGTAATATTCTGGAAAATATGTTAGTGTTCTTATGATGGTGTTTCTTAGCTAAACTGAAACTTCTGGACTCTTGTCTTTTAACATTTCTTTTTGTTTTTTGCTTAAGTAACATTTTTTACTAGAAATTTTATGAACATCAAATAACTTTTAACATCAATTATCATTAATATTGCTATTGTAAAATGATTTAATTATATCATGAATGTTATCAAGAAGATCTAAATAATTCATTTATTCCACCTACTAGATTTTACAAATAAAAAATCAACAGGAGAAATCTAAAAGGATTCCTCAAGTTAATATATAACTTGTAAGTTACATTGGATCCTCATGAATCATATATCAACCAGTATAACAAATTTAGATGATTCAATTCCATGCACTTTAGCAATTCTATCCAGGTCATCTTTCAGAAAATCAAATCTTTATTTTTCACTTCTGTCATGATTTTAAAACTGGATACAAGTTCACATCCATGTCAGAATAGAAGTAATGGACCAATTTTACAATAAAAGCTTATATTACTTTTCAGATAAATATACCAAATAAATACATAATCTACATCAACTCTCTGTATGAGATACTGTGTTCCAGTGAGTCTTGGCTTTGTCATCATGAGTATTTCAATTGTCATAGTGCTTGAACATTTGTATATAATCATCATTGCACTCAGATATCAGTGTGTCTGTATCAGACACTAGGGTTGTTGAGAAGAAAACTCAATCTATTTAGTAGACAATGGAGGGGAAGATACTCAATAACAAGTTATTACAGAAAATAATTAACTGGAACTGTCAGGATGCCCAAAGCTAGTATAAAATACGTTTAGAAATCCACTTTACATTTAATAACAGTAATTTTCTAACACGTTTTAGAGAGTATTGTTCCTAAAATAAATGTCATTTTATACTGGGTGTCTATAATACTGTCATTTAGTATATCTTAAATTGAGAGAAGGGAAACAGCTGACCACTCAATAACAACTATTGTGTCTGAATCTTATCTAGTCAACTTATTAAGGGGAAAAATGAGCTACAGGTGCCCGCACACCACAACAATCACAATTGTGTGTAGTTGCAATAAAGAATGGTGGTCATGAGAACTGAACACAATTTCAGCTATCTGTATAACTTTTACATATCACCTGTAGATATTTACTATAGAATCATTAGTGAAAATGAAAGAAACTGAAAGTGATGCAGTCTAAACTTCCACATAACATTTTTTTAACATGGTAGAGAATCAAACGTTGTATTCTCAATTCTGAAATTAAACTCTATCAGCAAATATACTCTTGCCTGAGAGTAAAATGGACTTACTTTTCAGATAAAATAGGTGTAGTTATAAGTTTCTGTATAAAATCATCTAAACCTTCTCTTCGTTGTTTGATAAATTCTGGATCTAAATTACCAAATATTTTCTTTCCTGGCAGTCTCAGATTGGAATCAGGATTGATCTTCTTAATCTGAAATACATACAAAAATCATCCTAAAAACTCATTGATATGGCAACATATCCAAAACCAAGACGACTCTATACTCAATTTACAGGTATACTATGGGGTAGGCCTTGTTTCAAAAGTAATATACAGGTTGCATACTCAGAAATGAAATGACGCCCAACAACAACACAAATCACATATCACCTATTCCTTGAAATTCCCAACTGCTAAAATAATATATGAATAGCCTTAAATTAACTTTTAACTTACAATGGACAGTTCCTCATATAACACTGTAGGGTACCAAAACTAACAATAGTAAATTATTACCTACCCAGGTCAGCAAAATACAGTTTATATACATTATAATTAAGAATGAAACAGATGTGTTATTATGATCATTATGATAAAGCCTGACCAACCTACATGAAATTTAAATACATTAAAAGCAGCATTAAATTTCTATCAAAAAATTACTTGCATGATTTCATTTCACAGTAACATGTGTATTACTACAGAGACAAGCGGTTGCCAAGCAAGATACGCCCACTTACCCAAAAATATTAGTATATTGAGGGTTGTGGCTTTCATTAATGTGTCAAATCAAACCTATATTCAAAACTTACACATCAAATGGAATAAAATTCATAAACACAGACACAAACTGTTGCCTTTATTACGTTCACAATCCACTTGTAAGTATTTTCAGTAAGCTAAATGTCGAAACTTTATATATTTATATTTGAACTTGTCCAAGATCTTATTACTATAATCAATAATAAAATAATATTTCTTTAAAATCAGACAAAATTATGGCCTCATTCCCGTTTATAAGCTAATGTAGGAGTATAAAAATGTATTGTTTACAGTTTTTATTTCAATGCACAGCATCTCCAATCAACTGCTTTTCTTTTTTTTTAACTTTGAATCCTTATATGATAAGAATATCCCAGACTTTATAAGGAGACTTTAAGGAACTATATTAACTTAACAGTCCAAGGAAAAAAATATTTCAATACTCAGCTTTCTCATTCATTCTCTTATCTAATAAACAAATTTTATGCAATTAACAGATCTGAAGTTGAGAATTGTTAAAATAGTGCTCAATACATTAAATGTAGCGTGAAATATAAATCTATGAATAGAAGTATGTATATAAATATTAAAATCAATGTATTTGTACATGTTCTTAAATCATATATTTTGTGACACAATTAAAATCTAACTGTCTTGTAATCTTTCTTATTGTCTAGACAATTTAACTTATAAATAAACTTAAAGGATGCAGGTTAAAACTCATAAATGTCATTTGTCAGACTTTACCAACACGTTCTAAGAATTATTCTACCTCAGACACAGAAGCAAATCATGTAAAATTAATGAGCTTATATATCATATTATGCTCAATACTGGAGAGTCAATTTTATATACAATTTATGATTTTGTTAATGAAAAGCCATTTACTTAATTCCAAGAGGTTTCTATATATTCACAAAGTAGGTGATATATTACTACATTAATTTTGAGTTCAATGGAGGCAAGATACTTGTAGCTTTACATGCAATTAATTATGATTTAGGATCAGGGTTGTAGAAACAGTGGTGGTTGGTGCTGGTTGGCAGCAGCTTCACCAATCTGTACTACAATAACAATAACTCAGGCTTTGATCACTACACTTTGCACTTTTAATCTGTCAGTTGATTTCTTCAAGCTAGACCCTGTTAAGGATCATTAGATTTTCAAAAGTTTTGAAATGTGGATTATTCATGTACATCCAAGACAATCTGTGTTATTGAATTACCAATCCAGGGAAATGATTAAATCAATGACTACTTGGTGTGATCAATTAATTATTAATGTCAATTAAGGCCATCCTACCTATACTGAATCCAATTCTAAACTTGTCTTAGGCAATGTACTATTATCCTATTGTAGTTTTGATAAACCTAATGAACTAAAACTTTTGCTAAACAAATGAATTAAATACCACACCTGAATGACAAAAGATATTTCTACAATTAACAAGAATGTATGGTTTATTTCCTTCTTTTATACTTTGCTTATTTCTTTAAGAATATTTATTTGTTTGCAACTTCCCTTTTTAGTTCAATAGTTCAGTTTTTTAACCAACTCAATAGGTGTCCTATTATCATGAGATACATTCATTTAAAAAATACTAAATGTTAAAATATAATAAGATAATGATCATAAAACAACATTAAATTTAGAAAAGCTCAAAATAAACCAAATCAAAATAGATTGAACATATTCGATTTATGATTAACGGACACATCTAATTAGACACTAGGATTATCCCTTAACCCTAATTCCAGTTCTTTTCTGAAACTATAATCTTAGTTTGAATGCATTGTTGCAACTTCTCATGACTTACAAATGTACATCAATCTGAAAACTGAAACTTTATTCATCTGAAAAGTAAATACTATTTGCTGAAAGAATTGTGTTTCCATGGAGTTCAATCCCTTCACAACAATATTTCCAAATTCAGGTGTCAAAGAAAAAAGAAACAAGTATATTTTATTAAGATAACAACTTAGGTTTGTAGAGATCCTGTCTACTACCAGGTCCTTGGTCAAATGTCTTGGCATCAGTCTTTCCTGGATTATCTGTACCCATTTACAGCTGGGTCGACTGGAATTATGATAAAAGATAACAATATTTAAGTTCATTGGAATTTCAAATGGTGACCAAGATTTGCAAATATATGAAACAAATAAAGATGATGTAGAAATCTTGTTTGTAAAATGATATTCAAATGAACTCTCAATTCTCTTAATATAGCATCAAATTTTCAGCTTTATATCAAAGAAATCTATTTATCTATTAATCTGATTTATCCATCATCATGCCAATTACTTTCAGATGAACTTCACTAAAAAAATCTATTCAAAAGTCATACATACACTTTCTGTTAATGGTGATTAATACCTTTTATAAGTACCATAATAGTCCAAAACATTAAATTTACATTGTATCGAGTATTTAAATGAATATACTGCTATAAACAGCTTTCTCCCTCTTTCTATATCTATATAAATCTACCATACCTTCACCATATGTTATTAAACATTGCCTTTACGTCAGACTCTATTTTATATAAATACCTACTCTCATTAAATAAATATACTTTTTTAAAGTGACCAAACTATTCTAAACATTCATATCATAATCTAATATATCTGTATCAGACATAATATTGAAAGTAAATATCTAGCACAATCATGGAATTATTGGCATAAACGATTACTCTCAAGGTCATTCACACTAGCTTTTCCCCTTTTACTCTCTCTCAAGACTGGGGTGTCCAATGAGAAATAAACATTCAAAACCTCCAAAGCAACTAAAGTGGCTGTTTATTTCAGAAATATCTGTATCAATAATAGTTAATTTTTCAGTTATGCCTGGATAATAGGTTAATGACTTTGTTTCTACTGTAAAGTTTTAATGATGAAATGAGCACCTGTGCATTTCAATCAAATAACTAAATATTCACAAAGTTGTTTTATAACATGGAATACTCCTACACATAAATCTAATAAAACATTTTTATGTACCGTACTCTATCTGATAACTAACTTGCATACAGTGTGAGACAAAAAAATTAGCAACTGACTTTTTTTTTACCTACATACCATTATTCTCATTTCAAACAGATAGCTACGGTAACATTTGGATTAAACTAAAACTAAATGATAACTGGTAAGCTTTCTGAAAAGTTGAAAAACTCAAATGTAGGGTGACATCAGGTGTTACACATTGGCCAGTAACCGAGTGCAACCTCATGGACTTAAACTTCTGTCTCATATTGGAAGACAATTTATAATGTAAAGAGACAAACTTTTTCAGAAAAAGGAAGACATCATTAAATGATGATCACTTCTTTATGTCTAAATAATCTGATATTAAATATCAAATATGAATTTTCATCAATAGGCAGTGCTAACATAATAGACTGAATGGTATAACCACTGACAGTTACCCGACAATTACCCATCACAACATCAATTCATTCATATGGGGATGTGAGGTGATCATTTCGCACAATCAAACTTTTGATATATGACAACATCCTCTAAGCACGAACCTTAAGTCATATTAAGCTAAGACTAAGATGACACAGGCACTGACCATAAAAAATGGATGCAATGAATCGTCTAGCAGAATAATCTTTAATTAATATATGAGCTTTAATATGATATAAACCTCAAGTGACATCTTATACACAAAACATGTTTCTAGGAGAAATAAATAAAATTTATTCAAAAGGACCCAGAGAAAACCACCAAAGTAAACATTTTACTGGATTTGATTTACTCTAAATGAAGTCTGATTTCTACTGCTTTAAGTTATCTTTCCTAGACTTCAAGCTAATTTAGATAATTTAAATAGCGAAAATGATTTATTATTTTATGTTATTTACAAGAGGTACTTTGTTAAATTGCCAACAACTTTATGCAATAAATTTGAAATGTCATATAAAACAAGTCATGTTTAGTTTTTTAAAAAATATAATTTTTATGTAAAAGATCATTGATAATAACCATGTAGTTCAATGTTTATAAATATATAATGGTTCTTACTTTAAAAAACATTCATGCTAATCAACGTTACAAGTAATTTGAATATAAAATTGAATATAGTATAATTCATGATGATAGAAAATAAAATCATGAGACACTAATGCCCCTAGCAAACTGACGTCAATGCATTTTTAAAAAAAATCTAAGTTTCTCTGAGTAAACAACCAGCTCGTACAATAAAATGCAATGATAATTTGAATGACTGACATCTGAAGAATGTCAATAATACTTCACTCTCAGTTAGCAGATTAAATTATTACTCATCAAATAGTATTGTTTACAGAAGAGTTTAAGTCCTCTACAATTCTTCAATTCAGCAAGAAAGCAGAATGAGACATAAGCTAAAACCATAAGTTTGCTACAGGCCGTGATCTTCACAGTTGGAAATTGAAAAAGAGCAGACTAATTTTTCCCCATTGTACACTTCATGGTCTAGTCCATCGTCATTAAAATTCTCTTTTCATTTACACTTCATTTATTTAACCTATTGTTATAGATCTATAGATTGTCATGGTTTTTTTTAGCTTTTATCATGTGAACCCTGTTTTAAACGACAGATCTTCAGCACTTGCTACATTTGGGAAGTCTCGGTTCCCTGGCTTTGTTTGAGCAGCAACATGGAAACAGTTCTATTGCAATGATCTCCTGAAATGAGTATTTCCAATCAGAATCAAACAAAAAAAATTCACATATTACATTAACTATTAGACTGTGCATACAAGATATATAATAATAATATAGCTAGGTATAGGACTAGAAAATAAAGTAAATATTTACAACCTACATTATAATACTGAGTTGCTTTATCATGTCATTCCCCTTTAAAATCCTTAACTTAACATTATCACATGATCTTGACCTTGATTTCAATATTCTTATAGATAACAACAACTTATTCAGGTGTTCATCTTGATAAAACAACACCATTTCAAACAAACAATGACACACATACATCAAGTGTTCAGACTATGAGAATTATGCTACTGGCACATGAACAGTCTTTGTCGCTGATTTTTGTCGCCAACTCGAATCTTGACTAAAATCTCAAATGTACCCACTCTTCCACAACAAGATTATTGCCTTGCCAACAGGGTTTATAATATCAAACCAGTTTGATGCCGATAATGTTGTTGTCTGCAAGACAAAGCACTATCATCTAATCATATTCATTTTCTTTTCAATTGAATGATATTCATGAGATTATTGACATATTGGAAAACGACCAACTGTATATTTTTGAAGCCGGTTGCTGGAACCCTTATCGTGGCAAAAATCATTCTACTAGACCAATTGACTACTTATATCTGCCCTAGCACAGTTTCCTTTCAAACACACCAAGTGATACTTTTGATTACTAGCCAAAGAAAGTGTTTTATGACAGTAAAATATCATTATGTATTTATGAAAGTAATTATTTTCAATAATGTTCAAATATTTATCTTGAGAATTCACCAAATTGATTGTAGGATGTATATCTACAATTATGGATTTGGTGATGTCATAAGACTAAAAAGAAAACCATTGAGGATCAAAATAGAACTACTTTTCCATTTCTAAGACACATATAGAATATACAAAATTGAGAAAACAACGTAATACAAAAAACACTATACTTCTAAAATTAAAAATGAGGCCATTAGCAAACTTCATTTCAAAAACCTTTGTACCCCTTTAGTATATATGGTTTGATATGAGCCTACAATCTCAAAATAACTGGTAAGTAGGACGTAAAACTCCATTCATTTCATTTCATTTCAAAATATCTGGTAACTAGGAGGGATTTAAACTTTACCACAATAGATCACCAATTGTTTTCAAAATAACACGATTTATTCCTGTAAGTTAACATAGTCTCAGAATCATTATTCCATTTTATGCTATTATTATAATAGTGTACAATAAATATAATAATATTCATAACTTACATAAGAATTGAGGTGATGTTGGACTGACCTAGCTTGTATGACCTGGTCACTAGCTATCATTGACCTTTATTATACAATCTACAATTAATACATCTACCTTGATCCAATTCTAATATCATTTTATAATCTTTGAACATTCTAATTCACAATACTATTTCCAGAAAAGTTTTTTCCCTTGCTCAACATGCAAATAATATTGGGCCCAATCCATGTCAATGAGTACTCTACTCTTTAAATTACAGACTTATGGATGGGTCTCACCTAGTATCAAGTCAAGAAAAATAAACCTTAATTCTTTGGTATTTTTGATACAAAAGCTCTATTTGATTGTAAAGATGAAATTAATTATACCAGATACTCCTCAATGTTAATATCTTGGTCATTTGAATGAATGAATATTATGTCCTATAAGTATTTATATTTGCACTAGAATACTGGAATTTATTGTACATATGTCTTTAATCTACACAGTGCACATTTTTTGTATCAGACTTTGACATAGACTCAAACTGTCTCTTTACATCATACTATATTAACTTATTGTATAGTTTTCAATTTTAACCAAGTAATTAACTCTACAACCTTAAGAACCAAAAAACTGCACACATACAAAATAATAATAGAATTAATGAATGAAATGAACTGAAATTAGAATGAAATAACTGAGTATGAATGAAACATCTGAGTATGAATTAACATCTGAGTATGAATAAACATCTGAGTATGAATTAACATCTGGGTATGAATGAAACAACTGAGTATGAATTAACATCTGGATATAGATGAAACATCTGTGTATGAATGAAACATCTGAGTATGAATGAAACATCTGAGTATGAATGAAATATAGATGTTTATCATAGTTTGAAATCTGATAACTTTTAAATAGTCAAGTTTTTATGCATTGGAGAATTTTGAATTTTGAAATTTAAAGCCTGGTTTTCCCGTAATTGAGTAAAAAAACGTACCATGCTCATTGTAACTTTCATTACTTCCTGTAATTGATGCATAAGCATAAACAAGAATAATTTCAATAAGGTCAATCATACAGTTTCAAACTCATTTTATGTTTCATATCAGTGGAGTCTCATATCTATGAAATATAACTATCAAATACCGTATAAGAGTCAGTAAGTCTGAAACTACCTATATAAATAATATGTGTAATATAAGGTAAAAGGTTAGTGAGGTTTTCATCCTGCTTTCTCTATGTTGTAAAACTCATTAGTCCAATGATGTATGGTTGTGTCAAAAGTCATCTCTAGCTTGTTAAAATCAGAGAGGAAATGGCTGTAATTACATCTACTGTTATAGTCCAGAATCAAATCTGAGAATGTCATTTTACTTCATTTAATTCATGACTCTATTTTGTAAATATACAAATTGTAAATAGCATTAAGATTCTCAAATGTATATCATTTTTCTCTTTATGAATAATTCAACTCAAATTGAACTGTAGTGTCTTCCAAAGTGGTTGCATAAGTTTGTTTTTTATTGAATCAAAAACAACTCTGTTAGGTTCATTAAAAATCAAGTGTTATATCAGCTGTGCCAATACCTATTTATGAAAACCACCCTACTCCTTCTATCTCTTCAACATGAATAAATTTCATATCTATCAAGACACAATAGGAATCTCATGACCATAAATGAAACATGGAAAATACAGGATTATAGTAAAAACATTACACTTACTATTACCATAGAGAATAAAACTTAGTCCTCTTAGTCAACTCTTATAAACCAAAATGTAAAATATCAAAGTTGACGGTAGATTTAATTGAAAGAGAAGTCTATTTGTTATAAAAAAGGATAATATAATCTTACACTTCAACTCAGCAGAAAACAACATCAACAGTCTGACATTCAACTGATCTTCAAATCTAACATCATTAACATATAGTATAGGATATACCTGTAACTTACAAAATATACTCTATATTAAACTCACTATGGTGAGGATTATGTCATCAAGTTAAAAGTTAGATTTCCTATTCAGCTAAAGAAAGAATTTGTGGAATGAATTGAATATAAGAATGAAGGCTCACATTGAAATGAATTTAGGTAAGAAGACTGGTAATGCAAAACAGTGTGAAGCAATGTTTATATCAAGTCAACACCTCCCAAACTAAACAGATGCACATAACTTTCTTGTCCTTGTCTTTAAAAAATTGAATATTTCTTATATTGATTGAAATTGACCTTGAACTTGATAAATAATAAACAAGTTCATACACCTTTGCATGTGTGATCTGACAGATTAACTTCAAAGTCCGAACCATATTGGAACAAGAGGCAACCACAAAATAAACCATGATTTTGCACAATATCCTGGCTAGGTGACAAGACTATAGGGGCTTATTTAAAGTGTTACTAACAATTTCACATAAAAATTTACCCAATGTGAGTTTAAATGAGTTATTTTACATGTCTTATTCAAAACATTCTAAATTGTAAATAAGATTAAGATTATTGAAGCTAGTGTATATGCTCATTACTGCTCTAATGTGAGAATTCAATGGCAGGTATTTAATCATTTTCTAGATAATAGGTAACCTAATGTCTGCATTATTCAGTTGTATTTATTTATTTCAAATAAGAATAATGAAATTTCATTGATTAGCCATAACAATCTTAAAGATGCAGATGTGAGCAGTACAAGATACAAATTGATTCCAATATTTAGAGACTTTCACAAACAAGTAAACAAAATTCATCAACATTCCGTGAAATTAACAGTGTTAACACCAGTTGAAACTTGTCTAGGAGATTTCCCTCATGGTATATAATGAATTTCAAGATTCAAATATATTTCTGTATCTGCAGTGTAACCTGTTATCAAATCGACTTTGATCCTAAGTTATGAAATATGAACTTGACCAATAGATAGAAGATAGAACTGAGTTTCAGCAATCTATATCTCATTTCATAATCTAAATTCTGACAAGTAGTTTCCCACTAATCAACAAAAATATAGTTCATCAATTTAGATGTCACCAAAAATATTAGTACATCCTAGAAGTGAGAACAGTCTAAATCAGGCCTTTGCAACCTACGGCCCGCAATTGCTCTTGTCACTATCGGTGTGGCCCGCAGATTGTTGCTACCTAATCAGATATCGAAACCCGTTATATACGCGCTGTTATATTAAAGTATGACGTCAAAATGAATCTAACTAATCAAATCGTTAACGAGGTCTGACCTCGTGTGAAACAGTGATTTTACGTCAAATATGTCTGTTATTTGCAATGCACATTGAAATACGTTATGGAATAAATGCATGTTTCTCATTGTTAATTCCATGATTTATTGATGGTTGTTTACGTGGCCCACAGCCTACACGCATCCCTCAAATATGGCCCACCCTTGCAGAAAGGTTGCACAGGCCTGGTCTAAATTGGTAAGGAATGCTTTTTATCTTTTAAAGGAGAACCAGTCATCAGATTATAAATCTGAAAAATGATTTTGATAAACACTTTACAAGTCATTTTGATCAGAAGACAAGCACCCACTACCACAATGAGATCACTGAATTCAAAATAAGCAGACATACTTAGACAAATTTCGATGGTTTTGAAAGGAAGCATCCCCATACAGAAAGATAAACCCTTTACAAGGTTCTAAAGGAACCTTGCATTGATATTTCCTGAATTATGGGTCCACTAGAATAATAAAAAAATATTCAATGTAATTTACAAGTGTTGTGTGTAAATCATGAAGAACAAATTGGTTAATCCTTATGACTTTATAGACAATAAATACCACACATCTCTATTCTACAAAACAAACATGTACAATCTAATCTTCAAACATAAACAGCTATTAATAATTAGGCTTAATGCCAGTGATGCAATTGCTGGCCATTATTCTTAGATTATATGTACCTACTCCATCAAACAGATATTCAGATTCCAAAAGACATGGTTCTTCAAGCAGTATATATCTACATCATAATAATATCAAATATTATTCAATACATGCCAACTAATCATGTCTATAAATTATCAATTATCTCAACATTAATGAGATAAAAATCATTACTGACTATGGTGATCTCTCAGAATGGAATACCACATTGACAATCACCAACTTAAAGCCAGTGCATAAAACAGTGTGCAAGGCAATTAATGAAAATTAACTTACCTTTTCAAATAGAGAGTGGAATTCATTGTATCTTCTGAATATAAACCAGGATTTTCCTTCAGCATTGACAACCACTTTATAGACCTGTAGGGGAAAGATATGATGTATAATCTCCAGAAAACGGTATCTTGATTTGCATTTTTTCTTCAGCCTTTTCCCCATCATTTATCCTCCAACTAATTAATTCAAATTCGCACATTTGTCAACAATTTCTAATTCAATTTATTATTCTATGACTTGTTGAAAGTTAGTGATGAATGATATGACATTTTTTCAGTTTATCTCATGTTGATGAATGAAATGTTGGTTAAATCTTCTGACATAATGATTATTTTCTACCAGATGTCATAGTACAATAATATTTTCAAATTCTCATCAGCAGTTTATAATATCAGGGACATTTATCTATATTAACAACTTTTATAAACTTTATTGGAATGTTTCTTGATGTCTTATGAAAAAGCTACACGAAGCTAACAGTCACATTCAGTCTTTTCTACCTCATTTATCAATTCCTAAAAAAACACTCAGAAAGAAATTCCATTATTTCACAGAATGAATTTTTTTTGTTGTATTCAGACAACAACCTGTGTTCTGATCACTGGTACAGTGAATGTTGATGTTAATAGAGAATAGCAATAAGTAAAGTAATGTAACTGTGACTGGTCAGGTTTCCAGATATGTTAATTCAATTATCTCAATGTTGTAATCATATTGATCATCACATTACACTTAGTTTATAGTTCATGAACCCTCTAGTTCTAGGTCTGTAGTATTAACCCTGGTATTAGTGTATTTCTTCTTAATAACTATATTGTCAATCAATGTCAACAACATCAGAGACATTTTCTACAGCTAACCATAACATAGTACTGAGAAACTTTAAAATACACACATTATTTTCTTTAAATTTCATCTTTTTAGTGCTTTCATTCCCACAGTTCCAAAATATTAATCAATACAAGATATTGGAGCAATCCATGAATCATGGAATTCTCCTCATTGAATTTTGTTTTTAAACATAAACAGAAATAAACAACCTAAAACTCTCTTAGGACTGAAGTGACACTTTGATAAGTTTTAATTCTCTGAAGCAATCTTTTCATGTCAGGTCTACTTAACATGGAAATTCTTCAAAATGTTATGTAATAATAATTTGAAATGTTCTGTTGAACTCTGAATTATTCCAAGCAGAAATGTATTAAAAGCTACACCAGAAATATCCAATTCAAGAGTAATCGCATGGAACACGCACATAAACCAATATTATATTGAACAGTATGGTTGTCTCTAGTCAATAGAAAAGTTGGCAATAAAAGGAAATATTGGAAATCTTCATCAAGTTCCTGTCTTACGTCAAATGTAAGCCAAAATCAATTGTTTGGTATTACCTTGTCACCTTATATTGTCATCATTATTATATTATATTGAATATAGTTTATTAAAGTGACTCTATTGTTGTTTCTTTAATACAAACTAGTGAATACAGCCTTTAACAAGTACACATACTATATATAAAAAATCTGAGTAATGGATGCATATGAGGCTTTAGATGACTCTTTATCTATTTTTTTCAATTATGTATTTCTAATCCTCACAGTTATTTTAACTTTGGATCATGCTACAGTTTAAGAACATCTCCTTGATGGTTTCATGTTAGGAGATGGCCAATTTTGTTTGAAAAGGTTGAAAAATTGAAGCCTGTTGCACCTAATTGTTCTTTGTTTTACAGTGTGTGTTATTGGTGGTATTAATTAGTAGGAGGTATATATATATAGATATAATATTAAACAATTTCATTTTTTAAATTTTCCAGATAATATCAATAAAAACTGTTCATTCACATCTATTTTGAATTTACCATCGTGTCTTCATCAGCCTAAAGCATAAGGTTTTTGGTATTTTACTTTAAGGATTCTTTCTTCTACCAAATTTCTTATAAATATAAAGATAACACAGTGAAAATGAATACTTACTATGTACTTCTTGTCTTTTTCCCAGGTTTGAAAATCAGAAATACTGGCTGAGGTAGCACTATTATCCTTATCAGTCATCCTTCTACCTAAAAAAAGGGAACATAACTTCAAAAATGTTTTTAAACATTACTCCAGAAAACCTTGATATTTTCTTTATCTCATTTTATCACTCATTCATTCAATCTACATATTTCATCTAAAAAGTAAACGGAAGGAATCATTAAAATTGGAACTGTCTGCAATTGTAAGACCCAATTATCTTTAGACCACACATTTACCAATAGGTCATAGCGCATAAACAAACCATAATTTTAAGAAATATATAGCCAAAAATAGATATCTAATAGTACCAAAAGCGAAGTTTCTTATAATTAAGGTTAAATTGGTAATTTTTATAATCTTTTCTTCAAAACACTGACAAATATCATAATCTTTATTTACAATATCCTGGTTCTGAATTTTGTAAAGAAAACAGATGCCCATATTATTAAATTTTCAAAATAAATCTAATATTACATAAGTAAAATGCATTTCAAATTTCTTTCAAATTTCTAGACTAAAACCTGAGGCAAACGAGAGTTTTGTCTGAGAAACATTATTTTGTGACAAAATTCCCTCGGGTGCATTTGTATATAAATTTGTTTATTCTTAAAGGGGAACAGTCGGCATTTTCAGGGATTGATTTGGGTATTTATTGTGCTTTAATAGTCTTAAGAAGTACTAAAATGCACGAAAATCCAAAATCCCTTCAAATATACCTCAAACTAGAAATTTTACAGTCTATTCCTATATATGTGTTTTTTATATATGGCATAGTCTCACTAAAATGCCAGTTGAATTTTTAACTTTCAAATGTAAATAATTATGGATACACATGGATTTGAAGGCTCAAATTTCGACGATGAGCTGTGAATACTATTACTGATCATGTAAGCTAAAAAAATTCCTGTTTCTGAAACTAAAGTATAATTGGTGGAATGGATAGTGAAGGCGCTCCGCTCCTTTAAAGACAAAATTTTTTTCGATAATCAAACTTGTTGCAATTTTCTGTGCTTTAAACAAAAAAATATTTTTAAATATAATTTTTGTCTACAACAAATAGATCTAGAATATCTCATTATGTTAAATAAAATAACATTTCAACCCAGATGTCATGTGCGATAAAAAAACATGCAACAAAGCAAAGTAAATGTTCCTTTTTCAACAATGTCTATTGTAGGGCCTATGCAGCTAACAAAAACACATATAACAAAGTCTTTTGTTTTAAACAGAAAAAAAGCTGTCATCTGCTGCTGCTTCTTGGACGTTGAAAAAAAATTCATTAATTAGGAGGACCAAACTGCTGTTGTTCAATTGTAACCTATCTAAGGGAGACAACTAATATATTCTATGTTGAATGCAAAATAACTAAACATGTTCAGATACTTATCTACTTAATACTCTTTTAGAAGATAACTATTTGACAGTTAGAAATCAAACCAGAGTGCAGAAAAATAGAGTATTAATGTTAAATTTATTTCATATTCGTTATTAATAATAAGGCAATTCTCTGATTATTTGGAAACTGATAAGAAACTATACAGATAATAAGATAAGACAACTGACAAACATCAAATCCGCAATTCATCTTAAGGTAAACTGATAAATGTTACGTAAAAAAATATCAAACTTGTTACTTGTAGAGAATTTTCTAAGAGTCTCATAGAACTGATATAAATTTTGTAATAAACCTGTGGAGGACCTTTTACTCTGTAACAGAATTTAATATTCCTCCATACCTGTTGAAATTATTCCTTCCACTAAATGATTTACAACACATCTCACTATTGACTGATATGGACTTCAGTTTTATTGTATTTTCATACACGCACATAAATCTAATATAAATTAACCTATCTCTCATATACTTACAAAATAAAATCAATTTCCAGTCAAAGATTAAAGGCTTTCATACTTTTATTTTAATATCATCAAACTTCCTCTCCTTTCAACTAATTTGACACGCCCCCATTTCACCTCATTGAACTTTGATCTTTGGCCCTGGCCGGTTTCTTTCGATCATCCGTTTAGATAATCAGTCAAAATTCTGAAGCAAAAATATTCAAATAAAAGAAAATATTGGGTTTGATTTTATTATAAAGTCGTGTACGATTCTTTGAAGCATAAGAACGAGGAAATAAAAACCGAGAAAAGGAAGAATAATATCAGTCAAAGTTACCCCATTCACGTGTGTTTGTTTACATTCTTTTCGACCAATCAGATTCCAACATTTCTATTTCTTCATTCACTATCTATCCCAGAGTCCACCACGGCATAGTTTCTCACAAACAAAATGGTGCCTACGGTTGAGGTAAATATGAGATATTCCATACTTCGATGATGGTTGCTGTATGATTATAGACTTTAACTGTTTTTCAAAGTAACACCAGAAATAATATGATCATAGTAAATAGGATTAAACATCTTGATTGATGTTCATTATTGATAAATGAGATGAAAACAACAGTAAGAGGGCACCTGTTTGTTTTTCTAGGCTATGTCCTATGACTATGTTTATTATAGCCTATATAGGCTTGTTTTATTTACCAGTAAATCATAATTGTTGTAAGCCTATCTTGATATGCACTGGATGAGCTACATAACTGGTCTATTTATTCCTCACCTTTTTTCTATTACAGGGAATGGATGACAAAGGCCAGAGCAACACCATTTTGTTCAATGCCTCTAAAAGAGAAATTTTTTCTTTGACAAATGGATTAAAAACATTAAACAGAAAGCTCAGATCAACATGGAAATTAGTAGGGTAGGTTATTACTAGACAAGAGGGGATCTAAGGTAGTGTTATGATGGACACTGAAACCGTATAAAATATATATGGATCTGTTTGGTATTACATGGCCATGAAGCTGTATGATGCCAGTGCCTGTGTATAATATTCAATGGGATTTTATTATTATGTGATCATGATTGTATAAACATTGCCCATCTTTGCCTATATGTATCTCAAGTAACTGGTACCTCTGACAAAAAACATTATTATCATAGTATTATGAATATTCTTTTTTCTTTTTTTTGTACAAAATAATGATTGATGGACAAAACACATCACATTTCATTTTAGAAATAAAGAAGAGATAACAGAAGAAAAGTTGTCGCAAGCCAGAGTTTTTGTTACAGTTGGTCCAAGAGAGAAGTTTTCAGCACTTGAGGTAAAAATGTCTACTGAACTCAACCTTGATAAGCTTTATTCTATTTTGAAGTCAAATTTCTGTTTTTTGATAACACATTTTATAAAGGTAGCATTGTTGTTGAAGACAAAAAAGATGTAATTCTTTTTCTAGTTTGATGCTATAAAGAAATATTTAGAAAATGGTGGAAGTGTTCTTATTTTGGTTGGAGAGGGTGGTGAATCCAAATTTGACACGAACATCAATTTTCTGTTAGAAGAATATGGTATTATGGTTAATTCAGGTTGGTGTTTTAATCTAATAATTAGTCTAACCTGTGATTTGAGTTGACTTTAAATTGCCTCAAACTTTTGCTTCTATGGTCAGATTTGTTAAGACTGAACATTGATTGTAAATTACTAACTACCTTAGTTCAACTTTTGTTTGATTTACAGATGCTGTAGTGAGGACATCATATTTCAAATATTTTCATCCAAAAGAAGCTTTAATAGCTAATGGTGTATTGAACAGGTTGGTAGTGTATATATTGTGTATCAATTTAAAATATAGTTCATTGCTTGGCAAATCACACTATTGTTGGCACCACTTAACCTGGTTATATTTGTGTGCTTTGGGGAAGACACAAATCACATAATGCCTTGACATTATCAAGATAGGAAAATATATACAAATTTTTTACCAGAGGGACTGACAGTGAACATATGATCTTAGGCCCAGATAGTGCATGTTAAAATTTATGTGCACTTTGAATCATGAAAACAGTAAGCTGATATCTTTGTCCAGACTAAATTAACCTCATTGCACACTGCATGGCATTATGTGTCCTCATTAACTCAAATATGTGTACAAAAGTAGGATGTAAAATTTCATTTCATTTGAAGACTTTTCTACTCCCTATGCATCTTAAAACTAATAAGTTTATGGATTCTTTTGTGCCTGGTAACAACTAATAAATGAGGTGATACACAATTTAATATAAAGTTAAGTTATTCTGTTATTTTATTATTTCAGGGCAATAAGTCAAGCAGCTGGGAAAACATTCGCAGTGGGCGGAGAAGAAGATACTAATAATGCACAGTAAGTAATATGTCTATAATGTAATGTGTGATTTACATATTTAAGATTTTACACCTAATTAACTGAAAAAATAAATTTATCATATTGCACAAAAGACTACACAGTCTCCCCAGTTTTCTTTTTGATTAATGATTATCACCCTTGTAATGAGTGATATAAATTTAACAGTTCTAATAGATATTTTATCATTGAAGTACATATAATGTAAACCTGATAATTGGCTTTATTCCAGAGCTTTATCATTTTTATATCCATATGGAGCTACTATTAATGTTATAAAACCATCATATGCTGTTCTATCAACTGGTAGTGTTTGTTTCCCTTTAAACAGGCCAGTTTGTGCTTTACACACTACAAAGGTTAGTAAAATTATATCAAGCTGTGTAAAAGGAGAATCTGGTTAGTATGTAGTTTGAGAAAGTAAGTTTCAGTTATTTTTCTGACAAGGTACTTCACTAAACTTAGTTCATCAAAACCTCTTTTCTAATTGGTATTACTATGTCGTTACACAGTACTGAATATATCAGAATACTTTCAAGTTGTGCCAAAGCTTTTTCTATTTAAAGCAACTGATAGTTTGAGTTCTTATTAATGATAGATTCAAATATACTGATTTTTTCTATTATGTTACTTTTTAGGCTAGCAAAGGTAAACTAGCAGTTGTTGGCTCTGTACACATGTTTCATGACCAATATATAGATAAAGAAGAAAATAGCAAAGTTCTTGTAAGAATTTTTTATTTTTGTCAGAATTGATCTTTATTATTCATTAACATCTTGATTTTTACCTTGTATTCATATAATATGGTACAAAGTAAAGGTCATAGCCTTGTTTCATAAAAAATCTTTGTCTCAAATTTATTGTTGGTCTGAAAATTTACATGTTTATAGAGAATATAAATTATGGCCAATATTAATATCAAGAAATGTTGCAAAACAGAATTCTTGATCAAATTCAAATGTTTTACGTTTACCTGTTTTACGAAAGTTTTAAATTCACATGTTTTACAAAAGTTTTAAATTCACATGTTTTACTAAAGTTTTAAATTCACATGTTTTACAAAAGTCTTAAATTCACATGTTTTACAAAAGTTCAAAATTCACATGTTTTACTAAAGTTATAAATTCACATGTTTTACTAAAGTTTTAAATTCACATGTTTTACTAAAGTTTTAAATTCACATGTTTTACTAAAGTTTTAAATTCACATGTTTTAAATTCACATGTTTTAAATTCACATGTTTTACTAAAGTTTTAAATTCACATGTTTTACTAAAGTTTTAAATTCACATGTTTTAAATTCACATGTTTTACAAAAGTTTTAAATTCACATGTTTTACTAAAGTTTTAAATTCACATGTTTAACTCATGTATATTTGTATTATTTCTGTAGGATGTACTGATTAACTATCTTACTACAGATGATATCAGATTAAATGTTATAGATGCTGAAGATCCAGAGGTAATTATTCAATGAATATTATTACAGTCATAATGTTTCCTTACAATAACAGGGTGGAGAGAACTAAAATACTCAAAAAGGCATAATAGTCTTTGGACAGATTTCACTGGAGTGTGACATTTCTCTTGAACAATATCTAAAACTAGATCTATTACTTGATTTTTAGTTCTAATTTACATTTTCATATATGTATGTTTGTGTACTGTATGTATGTATATGTTATGTTATGGTGTGTATTATGTATAGATATCTGATTATAATCAACTACCAGATACAGCTAGATTAGCTGAAGAATTAAAAACATGTCTACAGGAGAGTGATGATATTCCACGTGATATAACTACATTATTTGATAATTCATTATTTAAATTAGATACCAGTATAGTACCTAAAGCTATAGAGTAAGTTGAATAGAATTTTGCTATTGATTTTTAAGACTGTGGCTTTGTTATTTAATTTTTATGAAAATATACAATTGATCCTGCTCAATATTTTTAAAAGTGAAAATTGATTTTAGATGACAATTGTTTAAGGTTCTTATGAATTTTTAGACAACATTTTATTGTTTGTTTCAGAGCTTATAGTCAATTAGGATGTAAACATGAGAATTTAACACTTATAACACCACAGTTTGAAACGCCCTTACCACCTTTACAACCTGCTGTAAGTTCAAAAATATTCCTCTTATTCAAATGTACCAAAACAAAAATCTCTCAAAAATTTGTTCCTACCTTTATGATACCTTTTGTGGTAAGTTTAGAACAGTGGTTTGAGAAGTTTTTAGAAAGAAAACCCGATAAATTGTACATTCAGCATCAGCTATATATAAATCAAATTCAATTTAGCAGTAAATGAAAGCTACTTTTATTAAGAAATTGACACTGTGCTTTGTAATGTATTAATAATCTTAAAATATTTTCAATAAACCCTCAAGTGACAGACAGATTTATAATTATTTTCTTAAAGAAATAATGTGATATATCGATTTTTATCTTAATATTAATTAGAATATTTTCTCATGTTGTTTTATATTTTAGACATTCCCACCAAATTTTCGAGAGTTACCCCCACCTCCATTAGAACTATTTGATTTAGATGAACAGTTTTCATCGGAAAAAGTTAGAATTGCTCAAATCACAAATAAATGTAAGTGGTTATATGTTTATTAGATTTTGAATATGAGAGACTGTAAATAACAGTCAGCTTTCAATGGCTTAGGACTCTTCACATGCCAATGATTCTACTACAGAGTTACTTATGCAATAATGGCAGTTGACATTCCTTAAATGAGTTGTATCAGGGCATATAAGTATGAAATCACTATTCCAAAGCAGTTTATTATATCTAGGGATCTTTGCATTAAGTTGCTTAGTTTTAGTGGAATTGCAAGACCCACAGATGTCTGACTGAAAATTGAAATTGTGCGATTGTGATACAAATAAAAAGTTAAGAAAACCTCCTTATAAAAATGGCACAACCCTTTGAAATAAGTATTTATTTTATGAAATAAAACTATTAAATGTCATTATTGAAACTTAATTCTTTTTTCTTTATGACTAGGTACTGATGATGATTTAGAATATTATACCAGAGAATGTGGTGATATATTAGGTATAATACAGAAATTACCTCCAGATAATAGAGATGCTAAACATGTCCTGGAATATGTCTTAACACAAGTTGTTGAATTTAAAAAGTTGAATCAGGTATGTTGATGGTTTGATTTGATAATTGTATCTGTGTGCGATAATATAGATGATCTAGATATTCACTGTAACTTTCATTGGCACATCTTTACTCCATTGAGTCTTCAATCTTGTTCTCTCAAGTATAAGAGTTATCTCTTATTTTGGTTTGATTCAATGATAACAAACTCGATTCAAATTATGCTAAATTTTCTTGTTTCTAGAAGTGCTACATGTTGAAATTAAGGTTGCACTGAAAGTACATTTCCTACTGTGGAGCAAACTTTGATAGTCTTTTCAGCTTGATAAAGTTTATTTATGCCATAAAGTGTCTTCAAACAACAAGTTTTGGGTTAAGACTGTAATGTTAGCACTCAATTTTATTGCAACTGCAAGAATATCTTAAAGTCGTGTTCTGTTATTTGATTAAAAATCCCAACTCTTTCAAACTATGGTTTTATTTTTTTAAAGGATCTCTTATAAAGTGTAAGTGTGGTGAATTTTGTAATTTATTTATATGGTGGAAGATATAGAATAGATTTTTTATTATATGCATGACCTATGCATGACCTTTCCCCAAGGCCTGTTTCATAACTTAATTAAAATAGTCCTTATAATTGATTATTGAACAAAGTTTTTGTCAATAATTTGTTAATCAAATGTGGAAATAGAAATTCACCGAACTATGTATCGATTTATATGCTTTAAATTATATGATTAGTTAGGTCATGCAGTAAAAAGTATTGCTTGCTTTTTTTTCAATTTTCCATATTAAATAGCTATGTTTTTTTTCCTTTTTATAACCCTTTTAAGTTTCAGGTCCTTCCATGCTTTGATACATATCATGATTTAAAAAGGGTGTATGAGTCAGATGACATCAAACCCTTGTCACATCCTTCATCACTTCCTGTGGTCTTCAAAACAAAATATTGCAAAAAGGGATGATAGGAGTTTGCTAGATTTAATAACTACCCTATATCAAATACATAACATGATTACGTATCAACAACTTGAAATATATATGTTAAAACACAAGGTAGTTTATAAACTTGTGTTAAGTGACAAGAAACAAGGCTAGTTTTTTTATGGAAAGAATTACTTAGTAGAATTAGTCAAATTTTACAGATTAAATTACAGGTCAACATAATATATATATTTTCTGTGGATTGTATTGTGGATTTCCACAGCATGATTTCATTACGATTTCAAAAATTCTAAAATTTAAGTGTTTAACACTCACTGTGTACATGTTATGTATCAGTTCTGGATTTGCTTAACTTAAAGTGATGTTTATATTTTTAATTTTTCAGGAACCACAGTATGAAGGAATGCCATATAGCTCTGTACCAGATTCTTATGAATAACAATTCAACAACTGTATTTTTTAATTGATCTTTTGAAAAGAAATGCCATGCCTTATTTGTGTTTTCAAATTTGAAATTGTATCAGGAGTATATTCTGATAATTCAACACAGTGAAAACAAGTCCCAATATTTAAATATGAAAAAGGCTCAACATTTCTTCTATCACATACTACACATAGACAGTCACTCTTTATTTTGTTTCTTGTTTTGATTTAGATTATGTCTTGTGTTATTTCAATATTGAATTCCTTATTGTGCATCTATTTTATTCCTGTGACTAAGGTTTCGTTTATGTACAAAACTTTTAACAATTGGTCTATAAAGTTTGACATTCTCTTACAAATTTTTCAATTCAGTGTAAAATATGGATAGAATCAATAAAAAAAATGTTTGTAAAATGATAAAGAAGATAACTGTTGCCAGTGTATATATATAGGTCAGATTTCAGTGGTGAATGATGCAGACTAAATCTCAAATTTATGTATTGTATTGTGTATAGAAATTATCCAGTCCGTCCAGTTTGGTTTAAGTTATGACTGTCCTTTTCTTTAAGTTGACTCTGTCTATAGATATGTTCAACACATATTGTAGTGTCTGCTTATTTATGGTTATTTTTTTTTAAAATCAATTTAAGTTTTCTCAAATATAAACAGCTGAAATTGACCCTACATCTAATTTTAAAACTATTTAGGCTAAGAGATTTTAGATAACTGAATTGAGAAGTTGCACTGTAACCAGCCTTGTTTTTTGTGTAAGAAATCTCATAATTATATATTAATGTAACTTTCCTTTCATGCTTTTAATTGTTTATATTTGTTAGAATTGTACATACATATATTTATTAAATTATAATCATAGGAATATATTCTTTATTAACGTAACCAATGTACTGGGTCATCTGTAATTTATGTGATTTAACTGGAATATTATTGGCCGTCCATCTTTTGGCTATGAGAAAAATTTGGATAGACCTGAACCATATAATTGTTGTTCTGATATGTCAGTTAATATATTTGAGGGTTGTCTAATTCATATTTACTGAACCAACCACATAATAGAGTTGGGTGACATGGGATTTTTCGTGTATCACGATACAGACAATTTTTCATCACGATAGTTGTGATATAGAAAATTTCTGGAAATAAACCCTTTATAACGTTATAAAGTATCTCGTTTAATGTTTCTGCTTAAAATTATTTGAAAAATGGCACGTGAGACCCAAGATCTAAGAGACATTGGTGTTATTCCCAATCGGACACAGATATACTTTTGTTTATCAACACCAAAGGATATATCCAGTGATGCATTCCCGTTGTAATGCATATAATGTACATTGTGATATTCCCTTATCCAACTCTTGTGGTTATCAAAAGCCAAGAGTGTGAGATATCAGTGCTGTAACATGTAAAGAACACATCATAAAAACCTCTCAAAGAACCCATAGTTCGTAGGAAGCAGATTTGTGGGCTGAAAGAGGTTGGATTTTACAAAAGTGCCGTAGTGAGGTTCATCAAATCAATCCAATTGTAACTACATATAGCCCAGGGTCATAGAAAGTAGTTGTCGAATAACAAACCTTAAGGGAGCTATGTTATATTCTATAAACGGTATCTAAACAGTCATTTTGTTCCAGTTTATAAAATATAATCCCCAAACTAATCAGCATAAAATTACCGACTGAATTTAAGATTTTATTTATGGGGTTGATAACCGTTTATTTGAGCTCAGTGCCGATATCTTATTATATCATCATTTTACGTCTGATAACATCGCAACGGTTTACCAGTAAAGGAAAAATGCCATATATCGTCTGGCATTTCCCCGTACCGGTTTTTTGATAATATCGTCATATCGCCCAACTCTACCACAAAACACAAATCAACTATTCATTTTGATACAAGTCCTTAAATGTTAGAGCTCAATATATTCTACAATTTTTACAATAATACAAAACTAGGAAAAGGGTCGTATAGCTGAAAGCCTGTAACCTAATACATTTCTTATCGTTTACTAAAGATATTTATGACAATGTTCAGAAATGCTATTCAAAAGGCTGTCAATTCATATAGAACTATTTCGTTTCCAACATTTGGGAGACCAAGAAGAAAGATAGCTTGCCTGGCAAGGTAATATAGGGTTCAGCCAAGGGTGATTATAAACACATGGAAGACCAAGTTTCTTTCTAGAATGTGCAGGAACTAAAAATTGAACGCGTTTTCAAGAACAACCCGTACTAAATATTTTTCAATTTTTCTGATTTTCGATAGGGTTCATCCTTGAGCGATTACAAACACTCACATTACACTCACACTCACAAAATTAGCCAAGAATTGTGCCATCTGGAATATTTACGGGCTAAAAATTTAACGCGTTTTCAAAAATTAGGGCAATATTTTTCGGTTTTTCTCATTTTCAATAGGGTTTATCCTTGCGTAATTACAAACACTCACACCAAGTGTCGTCAAAATCCGTCAAGAATAGAAATAGAGTGAAGGACCGTTTCTGTGGTATATCATCAACGCGTTTAAAGATAGCTTGCCAGGCAAGGTAATATACGCTCACTGGCAGCTTTGATTTTGAATATTTAGCAGTACAGTAACAATCACCAGTATGAAATATTCAATCTTCAGACATACACTTCTTTTGAACTCTTTAGGGAGATACTGAATAATATCGAGTATGAGTTATTGCCCTAGTTCTTGAAAATCTTTAGCTCGTGAAAACTCTAGAAGACAAATATTCAATCTTCAGAGCGGTACTGAATAAAAAACCAAGTTTTGTCAAAATTCGGCAAGAATCATGCTTTCTAGAGTTTTTACGAGCTACAAATTGAACGAGTTTTCAAGAACAAGGGCAAGTTTCGTTACAATCCGTCAAAAATTGTGCCTTCTAGAGTGTTTACAAGCTCAAAATTGAACGCGTTTTAAAAAACAAGGGCAAGAATTAATACCTCCTCCTATAGTGCCTCCGTCTGGTTTGTCCGAAATTTTGAAGGGTTGAGATGTCGGGCAAAGCACGACTCCGAGCACCAAAGGTGCGATTCTGCAAAAGCCTCTCTAGCATCGCTGTGACACTATTGGTGGTTTTGTAGTTATTTGGCACGAACCTTTGGCTGCTCTCTTTTACAATTCAAGTTTATCAATGTTCTATTTAGTCTGAGGGTCCCAAACTGTAGAGGCGTATTCCACCTAGGTCGGACCAATGTTTTGTAGCATCTGTTCTTGATGGGAGTTTACTCTTAAAGCGGGCAGTGATGTTGTTTGCTTTCCTATACACGCTTTCGATATGATACTTCTATGACAGGTTGTTGAAGTAAAGGTTGTTTTGTCTTTTGTCATATCATCGATCTCTTATATGATTATAATGAGTCAGTAATCAGAAAGGTAAACCTAATTTAAAAAGATTTCGATTTTCTCTTCAGAACCGCGGGGAAATTCCGAAGGACGAGAAGAGCTTTTATAAAAGATTTCACGATAGAAATCTCGTGATTTCTTTAAGCAGATAATGACTTTCGTGAAATTTGATAATTAATCGATTTACTCCGTGAGTTCATTTAATGAAAACAATTTCATTTAGATATTTAAACGTGATCACCTCTTATAATCATATTGGTATTAGATTTTAAACTCTACAGAAAGATCCTAATAATTGTCAGATCCAACGGTAAATATTGTAAGTTATTTTTTCTTTTAACATTAGGGTGGGCGTAAATCAACTGACCATTCACCTTATCTTTATCGGATCCGTCGACAAGAACATAATGATCGTATCGAAATACCGACCAATTTACCAACTGTGGGCAACTAGATGGTTGACAACCAGATCCAACTTTTGCTAGCAAGTAGGACATGTTGTTCTCAATGTTGGTGCGCTCAATTCGACTAATTTGATCAGATTCCCTCAGATTGAATGAGCAGTGGGTGAAAAGTTGTTTGGACTCTTATTGGCTGTGTATTCTAATCAAATCGTGATACAAGAAGGAGGCTACTGCAGTCAAGGTGTAAGACGCAGTAGCTTGACACCATAAAGAAGGGGATCTGCAAGGTCCAACCTATTTAACAGACGTTTCAGTCAGCTAATGAATCACTTTCAATACGACACATACATTTGCCACTTGCCACTGAAAGACGAGAGACATTGTGGAAAAAGAACACGCAGTTTTAGTTCAAGCTGTGGATTCTAGAACATTCACAAGGAAATGTGAACGGGCTGACGGACGTGGGTGCAGCTACAGCTACAAAATTTTTCTGTTGTACCCAAAGGTTAGAATGTGCTATCAGGTAAAATAAAGACAAATTAAACTTGGCGACTGGTATAGCTGTCATTCCAATACAGTCTACAATAATTGTGCAGTATATAAGGGTTTTCGCTATAAAAAAATTAAAATTGATTTTGAAGATGAACGTTTATATCAATGCGTTTATATAATTACAAGACTATATCACAAATTTCTAAGCATTCTGTGAAATTACATTGTCGGTCGACTTCTGTCAAAAACACCACTAGCAAAGGCTGACTATAAGAGTAAGCGTGTCCCGGTCGTCAGTTATTATTTCGTGTGATTTTTTTAATTCAATTTTCAGAAATATAAAGTGGAAATGGAACAACTGAATGCGCTGGATTATGTCATCTTGGTGATACAGGCCTTCGTTTCCCTATTTATTATAGTGATTAACTCCTTTCTAATATACACTCTATCTGTAACCATGATGTTGAAAACCAAAGCTAATATTATAATAACAAGTCTAGCAGCAGCCGATTTACTGGTTGGCATCACTCTTCCCGTGGGAACTATTTTTGAATTCAAGTTTATAGATGATTTTATAGGATGTACCGCAACATATTGTCTGTCTATTCTTTTAACGACTGTTTCAATGCACCATTTATTTATGGTCAGTTTTGATCGGTATATTCTTATTATCTATCCACTAAGGTACCCTTTAATTATGACTACCAAAAGATGTATGCTGTCCATAGCGTTTTCCTGGATTGCTTCCCTGACCTTTGCAGTGTTACCCATCTTTGGAATTGGTCGACCTCCATCAGCAGATGTCAAGTGTAATGCAGAACGTTTTTTTGAATGGTGGTACATTTTGATTTTGTACTTAGTGAATTTCCAGATCCCATTATTAATTATGGTATATATCTATGGCAAGATATACGTCATTGCAAAGAAACATCGTCGACAAATAGAAAGTGAGATGAACTATTTCAAAACTAATGCCCGCCAAAACATAAAGACAACAAAGATTTTGTTTGCCATGTGTTTGTATTTTCAATTATCTTGGTTACCATATTTCACTATTACGTTCGTGTATCTCATAGTTCCAGATATCACGATACCTCTAATTGTTCTAAGGATAGCCGTCTTGTTGGCATTTGCCAATTCTCTTGGCAATCCGCTCTTATATGGATTCTTTAACAGAAATGTTCGTTGTTCAGTTAAAACAATTTTGAAATGCAAGAAAGAAGACAGGCCAACTGATGAGTCACTACCTACAACAAAACAAACTAAACATTCACTTTCCACATAAAAATTGAAACAGGCACGGGCATATAAAACCATAAACGAAAACGAATTTTAAATAATTGTATAATCTTGAAAATAAATATATATAAATTTGGTGGTGAAAGAAAGAAAGAATTCCTTATCATAACAATATATAATATCTATACTTAAAATCATCTAATCTGTCCCCATTTTAAATTCTTTTAATATGTATCAATATAGTACAAACTGTTTTAGGTCTTTTATGTCCAATTTTAATCTCAATTGTTGACTGTGTAAACAATAAAACCATTGTCTATGTTAATAGTCTATTCAAGTCAATAAATTCATTTTATCCACAGCCTATGACAGAGAGCTTATAATTTTGTGTTTTCTTTTCATAATGATTTTCCACTATTATTAAAGGGGTTGTAAAGTGTTTTTTTACAGGGTATTTACTTGTAAAGGGGATACTGATAGCATCAATTTGCACCATTCCAAATTTTAATAAGATATCTGTGATTCCTGCAATTCCGCTTACAATAAGTGTTTGATGACGTCACTAATCGCAAAATATGCTTTATCACATGAGGCCCTTGCAATTAGGTACGTCACAAAACTCCTAGTTTTAGCAGAATTTCAGGAACCATAGACATCTGATTGAAACAAATTGGAATGGTGCAAAATGATTCCATCAGAATCCTGGATACACATAAAAAAAATTAGAAACTAAAAGAGGATAAAGTCTTCTAATTATTGTCCTGTTAAAAACTCAATTTCAACCGTTCCAAGCACTGAACGTCCGTTGATTGGTCAGAAGGGACATGTGAAGCGTTCGTACTAAACCAGGGGTTTTCAACCTACCTAGCTCAAAATGCTTAATTAACAATTAGTACATGTACTCTCTGTTTTTAATTATCCATTTTAAAGCAATTTCAGTTTGATCAGCAAGATACATATACATATTTTCAGGTATAATTTTCGTTTTCATGAAAATTTTTTACAATAAAGCGGAATGCCCCTTTATCAAAGTTGTTCAATATCTATCTTATTTTCTAGAAGTGTCCATGAAATGGGAACAATTTCATACACCAATCAAAGAGCCATTGTTCAGACATGCTTTTCTTGTAACTCACTGGTCCCGGTAGCAGGCGCGACTAACGACCATTTGACATCAAAGATAAAAATATTGATAAGTCTAGCTCACTGGTTGCCGACTGAATTGGCCATGAGTTGCGACCCTTTGACTGAAAAAGCTAGCCTCTTCAATGCAAGTTGTGTTCGTGTAATAAGTCTAATCGTACCTTTTGTAGGTTGGGTTTCATGGGAATTTCAATAGTAGTCCATAACATCATAATATTGTTCCCCAACGAAAATCCAATACTCGAAGAACATTTTAACACCTATTGGTTTCAACATTTAGTTGGAAGGATTACTTTTTGGGCGTATGGTGGGTGTAATGTAGCTAAGGGTTTGTTTGGCAAGTATACTTAATGCCATCTTTCACTCTAAAGTCTTTTCTGTCAGTAGGCCTAATTTTGATGGTCAATTTGGTCATATTGTAGCACTGGGCGGGGTCAACCTTTTTGAGCGTGTCTGACGGGAATTATGAAGCAAGTAATTTGTCTGGTCCCTGCAATTCCACTAAAACTAAGAGTTTCAGTTTCATTAGCGTGGTCTGTAGTTATTCATTTTCACTCTGGAAAAATAACTTGTCATCGATAGGAACTCATCTAATACTAGTGTTTTGGATGATTTCAAACACAGCTAATTTGGGAAGTGGGTGACAAATGTTAAAGTTACCCACGAGGCTGATTATGGTACAGGGATATAATAATGACAAAATTTGTGCATGCATTTTAAGTAGCCAACAGTGCTGTCTGATGTCTATAAGGTTGCACAGAGGATGTAGTGAATGCCTGAAAACTCATATTTACGATTTTTCATGGCAGGCATCATTAAAACCTAATTACTTGAGTTTGTGACCACTAAATGTCCATTTTGTTGGTCAAGGCAACACATAGGTTAGTCTTATTTAAAGATGTAACGGTATACTGTTTTAATTTCAAGTCATATAAGGAGGCAAAAAAGTTTGTAAGCCCTTCTTTTGATTTCTCTCTCTAGGAAAATATGTTTTCTTAAAATAAAACAATAATAACTAATCATTTTTATTTTAAACTTTCATGTCATCAAACCTTTTCATTTAGTACTTTTATCTGTTTCTTTACTTCTTCATCATTTTTAGAAAGAAATATTTTCAAAAATACATCCAAGTTACACCTGCAATTTCATTTAGATAACATAAATACTAAAGTCAAAAGTTAATATAGTGTCAATAAAAAAACAATCAAGATATTTATAGATGCCCTTTAACCTTTGACCTTATCATTTTGCATATCTACTTAGATAAAGATAAGAAAATGTACGTTTTCAATATACCTTTTACTTTGTATTTCATTTTCAAGTTGTTGTGATCTCCACTTTGCTGTAGTAAGGATAGAACTATCAATATTTGCTAGTTGAGCTACATTTAAACCATAACTCTTCCCTGCTTGACCTTTTACTAATTCATAGAGAAATGTGATAGAATCTGTAATATCACTATCTACAATAAAACAAAATTAACATACAGGGTATTTGAAACAATTCGTACTTGAAGGGACATATGCCTATACTGTTAAAGGGATTTCAAAGAGGTTCTCTGGCCATTTCATCTACATTAGGTTAATTTAATTCTACTATTCCAATTTCTTGACCTGTTTGGTGTCAGTAATTCCAGATATACTTCATCAGATTATGACATCACTATCATAAATACCATTTAACATTCTTTTGAAAAATAGGATTAAAAACAAAATGGGAGATCATTTATTTGTATGTTAGCACAATAATTATTTGTCAGTACATTAGTATAGTTTATGTATAAAAAAATATTTACCATTTTCATTCAACAGAAATGACATGTGGTAATTGCCTACCATACCAGGAAAAAATAACTCTAGTTCACCTAATGATGGATAGTGTGTGACAAATAATGTAAAACATTGAACCTGGAATAATGGAAAGCAAAATAATAATCTTAGATAATTATCTATTAGCAGTTGACAATTTTAAGATGTCTATACTTCTTGCAGGATTTAAATATTTGTTTATTCTGATGTATCCTCTAGAGATTCACAGAAATCGAAATGTTAATGGGAATAGTCACTTATAACTACAAAATATAACTTAAGAGTCAACAGTGCAGGTGGATTTTTGTGGTATGTTTCTCTGTTCAATAAGAGAATTCACTAGGGGTAATGAAGTTTTTTATATCAGTGATCTATTTCTGATAAGTATTAAATGTTAAATGAATAGAAGTGGGTAAATAACCTACCTGATTTATAAAATAATGAGCTGTTGCTGTAGCTATTGCTAACCCATCAAATGTACTAGTACCACGTCCTAATTCATCTAATATAACTAGACTGTTGCTACTAGCTTCTTTCATTATATTAGATGCTTCTTGTAATTCTACCATAAACGTACTTCTACCTTTAAATATTTCATCTGCAGCACCCATTCTGTAAAATATATTAACAATATTGGCAGCATTTTAAAACTTAATTGATGTAAGTAATAAAAAAATTATAATTTGAAAAATGCATAATTCATTTCATTCTATTATAGATCATTGAATGTGGAAGTTTATGTAGATCACTAGCACAAATATATGTAAATATATAAATTCTGACGAAATGGACTTCTCTATTAGAAATATTTACCTGGTATATATAGCATCAATAACAGATAAAGTCATCTCATCAGCTGGTATATAGCTTCCTATCTGAGCCATAATACACAATAATGCTACTTGTTTTATATAGGAACTTTTACCACCCATATTGGGTCCAGTTATAATCATCATTCTTTCATCCTACAAAATATCATAAATCATCATCAATTAGTTCATTCATAATCATTAATCTTTCATCCTACAAAATATCATAAATCATCATCAATTAGTTCATTCATAATCATTAATCTTTCATCCTACAAAATATCATTAATCAATGTGTTTATTTACAATCATCATTCTTTCATCTTACAAAATATCATTAATCAACATGTTTATTTATAATCATCCTTCTTTCATCTTACAAAATATCATAAATCAACGTTTTTATTTATAATCATCATTCTTTCATCCTACAAAATATCATAAATCATCATCAATTAGTTCATTCATAATCATCAATCTTTCATCCTACATAATATCATTAATCAATGTGTTTATTTTTTCATCCAACAAAACATCATTAATCAATTAAATTATTTATAATCATCATTCTTTCATCCAACAAAATATCATTAATCAATTTTTTATTTTATAATAATCACTCTTTAATCATCCTACAACCACTTCTATATGTCCCAATTTCTTCAAAATGTTAAACAATAATGACACTACCAACTACTTACAGCTAAATTAGTATCATTTGGTACAAATTGTTGTTGATTTGAAAATAAAGTACTTATCACAGGATGTCTTCCTTGTGTTATCTTAATACATTTTTTATTTTCACTGAATACTGGTCTAAAATATAAAACGTTTTCAATAAACAAATTATATTATCTAAATAAAATTATCTATGTAACATGTTATATAAGTTTTTTGTTTGGCACAGGTCCCTGATAAGAGCTTAATTTTTACATATATTAAACATGTAATCAAATAATATGGAAGCCGATAGTTAAGAGCCGATTAAAAATGTGGCAAAATCAAAAATGTAAATTAACATGACTATACCTGGTAAAATGATTTTGTAGTGAAACAGATGATAGTGATAGTAAACAGTCTATAGTAGCAAGATAATTTACTGCTTTTCTATATCGTACAAAATAACTACCAAATTCCCTGCAACCATAATTCAAAAATATAATTCAACAGAATTACTTTGATAAGAATCAACATATTAAGGTCCTTGTCTCTAGGATACCCAAAGTAAATGACTCCCACTTTAGATACCTTTAATAGATTAATAAATAAAATTTATTTGGTCAATCCAAGTAGATTATCAATTGGATAGTCATGCATACATTTTTACATTTCCATTCCTGACAATAACTACTAGAATTTAATGACATGCATACAGTATAGTTTTAAATCCTTCTTTTTTTACAGTAAAAAGCTATGCAGTATCCAGTAAGAAAAAAGATAGTGGACCACAGCCATATACGCCCTTCACGGCATGAGGATCGTAAAAACGAAACATCCATTTTAAGTTTCATCAAAATCGGTTGAAAACTAAGAAAGTAATAGCATATTCAATTTTTTTGGGGCAAGGGCAATAACTCTGCTTCTAACAGTCGAAAATAGCTCAAATTCGAACTTGGTCTTCGTTTTATGAATATGTATACACATACCGAATTTCATTTGATTCCATCAAAAAATCTGACGGACGGGGGTGCCGACAATATACGTCCACATAGAGAGATGTGGGCGTATAAAAATAGCCAGAATACATAGTCTTGGTATTTTTATCTTATTATTTGATTTACTTACAATAGTAGTTGTAACCATAGTTTATTACAAACTATAACTAATTCTTCTTTCAACTGATTCAATCTCTTTACTTTACTAACAATTAGTGCAGAGTGAAATCTTGTCACTGCTTTAGTACTGTAACATACGTAAAAAAGAAACTGTGTATGTATTTATTTAGAGTTTATAACAAACTTTCCACTCATTATGCCAACCCTGGTTTAACTTTACCTGGTCTAATTTGGAAGGGAGATAATTTCAATTGTAATATATATATATATATATATATCAAACATAACATACCTACTTATAGTTACCCAGTCTTTAGGAACTTGTTTCAATAACGTATTTTTAACTTCAATCAAAAACTAGAAAATAACATACAAAATAATTTCAATTTGTAAAGATATGTAAATATTAATTACAATAATAGTAACTTAAATACACATAAACCAATATTTTCAAAATATCAGAGAAATTTAGAAATCATAGTGAAAATGAATTAAAAAAGAAATTTTACCAGAGGGCTTAAGGAAATATTATGGTGACAGACTGGTATCATAGTCAGTAAAAACAAATAGTTGAATAGATAAATAAGACAATTTTATGGATAGATAATAATGGGTACAAACAATAAGTAACAAGTATATATAATGTAGGTATTGTTATTGTTACCTACATATATACTTGTTACTTATTGTTTGTACCCATTATTGTATTCCTGATGACGGTGTGAGAACCACATTGAAACGTTGAAGTAATAAATATTCTGGAAGTATCTGTCCATAAAATTGTCTTATTTATCTATAACCTGTGCTTCTAATATGCCTTTGAAAGATTAAATAGTTGAATATTTAAAAATTACGATATGATTAATAATTTTACCTCTGTTTGTGAAACAGTAACATAATCTAAAGATGGTTGATGTAATATTAATCTGATATCTTTTCTATGATCTTTAATATCTTTCAATACTTCATTAATTTCCTCTTTAATATTCATGATATCTGGATAGTTATCTTCTTTATTAAATAACTTGGTTTTATCATTTTCTCTACATTAAATATATTAATATAAATATACATGATAATATCATTTCATAATGATAAAAATATAAAAAAAGAAGCATATTTTACAAGAATATCAATAAATCTTAATCTTATTAATGCTGAATATTTGACATGTTGCTAGTCTACCTTAATGAGTTTGTAAATCTCGACTTATGGATTGCAATTTGGATACATGTCAGTTTTCTCTAACAACATCTTATAATGAAAACAACAGGGCCACTGAAAATAAGAGTAATGAACAAACCTTGCTGCTGTTTCATTGATATTCTGACTATATGTTGTAATATCATAGAGTAACTCTGGTAACTCTTGAAATATCTTGGTTAATAATTCACTATCTTTAAACATATCTATATCAATATATAACATCTTTATTTCCTTATATATCTTCTCCAAACTTTTTACTACTGTATAGAATTCTAATACAGAACACTGAAATATAATGTGAATGTTTAACCACAGAGCACTGATACAATATTGTCAGAATTATTGTTGTCATAATTATAAGGTGCAGAAAGTAAGAAAGAAGTTAAATATCTAATCATAAGATGACACATGTAGCCTACAAATTTCAACTTTGAGTTCATATCAGAATGAAGTAACTACGTACTATATTTGGCTAACAACATTAACAATCTGTTATTTCTACCAAACTAAGAGCAAACATTTTTTAGGGTAAATTTTAAGGCTTTCTTTTTCATCCTTTTCCATGAGATAAATTTTACCTTTTGGTGAAATATTGAACATAATGTTCTTTCTAAATCGGGGGATTTATTCAACAATAATTTCAACTTCTGTAACTTTTGGTTTGTAGACAATAAATTTTCTACAGCTTCCTGCCTCTTTATTATTTCTCTAAGAAAAATAAATTATAGTTCATACACATAGAAAAAAATTTTCTTATATATTGAGAGTTTGTTCTTTTTTTGAAAGGTTTTTCATACACTTATATAGTTTCTGATAATGGTTTATCCCTTTATTGCAATAAGAAAATCTGCAAGTATTCCCTATCCTATTTATTCTATCTTTCAAGCTGCAAATGATAACATTATAGGAAAGTTGAACTTACTTAATATCCAGTAAAGGTTGAGCTAACCACGACTTTAATAAACGGCAACCATATTTACTAACAGTATAATTTAATACCCCAAATAAACACCCTTTCTCAGTACAATCTGTTGAATTCTTAAATATTTCTAAATTCCGTAGTGTAGTACCATTTAATTGCATATAGTTATTCTTTATACTGAATTTATTAAAATTTCTACAAAAAGTGATATATTCTTAATATATTTTATCATATTAGACTAGACTATCAGGCACTTTCATAATACATGAGTTTCAGCAAACAATTAGAAATGGAAGCGTAAATAAAACTGAATATTTTGCATAAAATATGATTAAACTTTAGGTGGGAAATACTACTTACCCTGTAATTTTTAGTATATTATGTAAATTAAATTCATGTAAATAAACAATTAGACCAGATATACAGCATAAAACTGGTTTAGGCAGATTTAATATTTCTTGTAAAATCTCCTCTGAAACAAAATGGGACATAACAGCATATTATTATTTAATCAAATATATGTTCTTCATACATCATGTATATCAATATCTGATAGTCCCTTGATTTCAATAAAATAGAAAAGATATTCTTTAAATGACTTTATATAATATGTAACAGACTTTTTCATCAAAACTATGTCGCCCATAGCAACCATACTCACCATTTTCATTTTTCATAAACTCTGATATTATTTCCTTAGATTTGTCCTGAGTGAAATTTTCATCAGCAATTTTTTCAGTTCTTATTCTATCATCTTCTGTTGAGCTGAAAAAAGGCAAAAAAGTAGTGCTAGTTATTTTCGCTTAATTAAATTTAATTTTAGATCTAAATACGAGTTTTAAATTATTCTGAAATCATTAATACAAATGACAAATATAGAATATTCTCAATTCAATTAGCATGACAGCAAGCAGAAAATTGTCCCCCAAAAACCCTTGCATTCAATATTAGAAACTGCCTGGCTAATTTTGAGTAAAGACAATTTTAGATTGAAAACCTAAGTAAGATACTCTTTATTTACAATATATAAGACTTTAGCTCTTTGACATTAGTAACCAGAGTCAAAAGAAAGAAAAGTCCATAAAGGGCATCATTGGCAATGGTATCAAATTTTTTGCAAGAATGATTAAAAAGGTTGTTTTATTTTAGATTACTGCTATAATAAGAAAATAAGCATGCTGGGTATTGCAAATTCAATACATAGGCTCAAGACAAATTCTTGATGATGAGCTGACTAACCTAAGAGCTACTATATCTTGTAGTAGTTTATAAGTAGTATCTGAGATAGTCTGTGGTATTAGTAATTCAACAGGGTTAATATGAGTTATTCTGGTTTCCAGACAGCTTCTAATATCATCATCTATAAAATTATCATATACAACATCTCCTGTAGCTGGGTCGATTGCCTATGTAAATACAGAACTCAATCATTTGCACAGAACAAAATAAATAGAGAAACAACAACTTGGGTTTAGAAAGATCCTAACTACAAGCTGGTCTTTGGCAAAACCCCTTGGTATTGATCTTTCTCGGATTAGCTTGGTCAAATGGATTTATGAAAAAAGATGACTTATTCAAGGCTAGCACCAATGACCATCACAGTAACTGATGTAATTAACAGATGCCAATACTCTAATCAACTGTGCTTGGGTTAACAAAAATACATTGTCTTCCAACACCTGTGCCTGAAGGAGGAAGGAAATAAACAAGTTGACATATTTCTCATAAATTAACTCACTACAATGGCAACATTTCTTTTAGCTGAATCACGACCTATTCCATCATAAATACACATTAAATAATTATTTGGTTTAACATGATTAGTATATTGTATAGCACTCTGTTTATCATCAATATCTGATATATGTTCAACATGTATATATATAGTTAAAGAAAATTAATCAATAGTTTATGTATTATAAAGCAAGATGGTCAACCTTTGAAACGACTGAAAGCACATTACATAATAATGTATTTTTTTTAGTTCCTTATATTATCATCACCAATGCATTTTGGATTTGTTATATGCCGTGAAAAGGATAGTATGGTAAAAAGGATATCTTCTCCAATTAAAGTAGATTTAGTGTATAAAGCTGATAACTTTCTATTAAATGGTGTATTTCTATTATCTCCAGCTGCCTTTAAAGCTGCAGTCTCCATTTGTTTAACCACTCCAACCTACAAACATAAACAAATTACATCATGAGAAGCAGAGAATAGGTTTTGGTCCACGGAAGGTTATTTTAATTTTGATTCATTTGTTTTGAATCCTTCATTTTTCTTGTTAATCCAGCTGTATTGTAAAACTGGTCATCAACATACTTATTACATTCTCACCAAAAATTACATAAAATCTAATTGGTGTTTAAGAAATATAACTAGAAACCTTGCTGGAATTTCTTTTGAACCACAACTGCAATGTGTCTAAAAATACTTTACCTTATACCCAGCAGCCACCAATCTTCTAACATGTACAAATAATCTATGTGTAGGTATACTGGCGGTCATAAAATTATGATCTAAATGACAATATATCTTTAATACTTTAGCAGCAATCTAAAATATAAAGTTATATATTGTAAATCTAATCTTTTTAAAATGTAACACAGTAAGTAAATGAATGATCAGCACATGTACATTGTTCATAAAATCAAGTTACTTTTACATTAATTTCTGGATGACATGCAGGAACAGTGTACGTTCATATATTAGTTTCTGCTTAAACTGAAACATAATTTCAAATATATAGATGTCTATAACAGACCACCAACTTCGAGACAGCATTATCAGACTTTATAGTTATTTTACCTCTGCATCTTCTCTAAAAAACCTGTATTTATAACCACATTCAACAAATAATATAGCATCATCATACTGTTTTTTTATTTCTAAAAACTGTTGTTCTAATGGGGTGTATTTTATCTTATTGAAAAAGGGTTTGGTCTTTGTAGCTGAGAATTTAGTAAATCTTGAGGTAGATGGACCTGGCCCATTGTTATCATCTGTCATATCAATATCTTCATCACTGTTTGAACCGGGAAGATCTGAGATAGATTCTGCTTCATCAGGTAGATTTCTGGAAGGATGTATTCCTCTTATCCCATCATCTACATTATCAGCTGAAAACTGTTGAAGTTTTTTAAGAGTTGAGTCAGCAAGTCCTGTTGCGAGAGAGGTGGTTGAAATAGAAACATCTGCATCATCAATAATAATCCCTTTGCTTTTATTTTCAACTCCATTTGTCTCCTTTCCTTTTGTTCTGGACTTTTTGATAGGTGTTGATGATTCACTTGATAACTTGCGTTTTGTAGACTTTTGATTCTGAAATAGAAAATTAAAAACAAGTAGCATCATTGTTTTTTTTTGACGTTGTTGGGAGCTCCGTAAATTGATATATTCAAGAAAATAATGTAGTCAAAATTATAAGTCATTGAGAACAATGTAGCCAAAAAATTTGTTGGTATATCAGTATAAGATACAGGCAGGCCTACTTACATCTTTAGCTGTTTTCTTAGCATTAAAATTTGCAAAGAACTTTGACAGTGTCACTTGCTTCTTTTCCATAATTAAGGTATAACTGAAATATCATTCCACAATATCTTTAATTAAAAAGGATATGCCTACAAAATTGAGACATAAAAAAAATTTAACTAACTTTTTTTTTCACATTCCTTGAGATATATTCTGGAATTATTCGCTTTAGAAAGTTAAAAAGACAAGTCAAGTTTATTTCTTGAGACAGTGCCCACCTGAATCGGAAATTCTATCAATGATGCATCATCATATCATCATATGATGTATCATTGCCGGCTATTTTGAGATTATCCTATATACCTTATTATTGATAGAACTTTTGATTCCTGTGCACTGCTGTAGAAAAGGCATCTATAAAAATAGGAAAATAAATTCCAACTTTGAGATATTTTTGAAGAAATTATGCAATTTCCATACATTTCTTCACATACATTCAAGACTCAAATCTGACCTGTCCCTTCAACATTATTTTCATGTCAGATTATTTATCATTTTGCATTTAAAAGCTAACTATTTTGGATTATCTTTAGGATGTAACCATAGAGTTGTAACCCGCCAGTAGGCTATACAGTTCTATGCAATGACGTCTAGGCCTATAAATAACTACTTTACTATAACTAAGAAGGCTATATCATAAACCTGGTAATTAAATTGATCGGTAATGTCTTTTACTAACAGTGTTAATTAATAGTATTAGTAGATCTTTTTCTGTCATTTGTAAAAACCGTACAAATTTCTTAGGAATAAATAGGCTATATGCATTGCCGCATTTCTACAGTTGTTGCAATTACCATTGTTGCCTTGATCATAAAGACTTTTTTGAAACTCAATTATTTCACACAACATAATATTCTTATGCCTTGTGGGATTATTTATCTTACGTCCTCGCTCTTGCAAGTTTTCTGGCTTCGTGAAAAGCTTATAAGGTTTAGATCTAAGCTTTTGTCGCTGAATAAGTACTCCATCAATCAAACAAATTTATCATAGACACAGAGTGACCTCCCATTATTAACAACAGTTGGACTCACTCCACTAATTCATTTGCCATCTCTTCCCATGTTAAAACACGAAATTCAACCTTCTATAACTTTTTCCAGAAATCTCGTTGAAAGCTTTCCAATATGTCGAATGAAAGCCAGGCCAATTCTCAATGTCTCATAAAAAATTCATTATATGATGACCATGAAAATTTTGAGCTACTAAAGTTGAAAGTAGACTACTACCAGTTATACTCATCCGCTAGAGTTTGGCACTTCAAAAAACGACTATTTTTAGAATTAGCCTTCCGCCTTTGGGTATCTCATCATCTCACCAAATCTGAAAGATAATGCAATTTCAGACATCAAATTCCAAATCTAGACCAAATTTTACCAAAAAATAGGCATGCAAAAACCCCAAAAGGGAGAGAGAAAGAAGATTTCTAAAAATAGCCTGGACTACATATACAATCATTTGCATAAAATGTTTTAGTGGAGTGAGTCCAATATGGAGGGGGATCGTTGCCAGAATTATTAACAAAGTCACCCTTCACTAAAATAGCCATATCTCGACCAATTTTGACCCTAGAGGTATAATTTTTGTTGCAAACGACAGTTTAACATGTCCCCCATCTATTTCATTCAGAAATCGAAATTCGATTTTTTGTCAAACTTTCGAGAAAATCGACTTTGAAGTTCCACTCTCCATTTCAGGGAGAAAATCGCTTATATCTTGCTTTGGGGAAAAATCTGAGACTAAAAGTGAACTAACAGGCAGGGTTTGCATGTCAGGAACTTGAAATTTGGAACAGAGTAACTTCAGATGGGTATGTACCTTCAGTGCAAATTTCAGCTTTACATCTCTGATGGCCTTCGATTGGCAGCCTGTCAAAGTTTTGGCCTTCACCGCAACCAGTGCCATTGGACTGCATAAGGCCGGTTTCAGACCCCACCCTTCACTAAAATGGCCATAATGCGGCCAATTTTGACTCTAAAGGTATAATTTTTGTTGCAAACGACAGTTTAACATGTCCCCCGTCTATTTCATTCAGAAACCGAAATTCGATTTTTTGTCAAACTTTCGAGAAAATCGACTGTGAAGTTCCACTCTCCATTTCAGGGAGAAAATCGCTTATATCTTGCTTTGGGGAAAAATCTGAGACTAAAAGTGAACTAACAGGCAGGGTTTGCATGGCAGGAACTTGAAATTTGGAACAGAGTAACTTCAGATTGGTATGACCTTCAGTGCAAATTTCAGCTTACATCTGAGTGAGTCTTTAAGTTCATTTATTATTACCTCTATATGGGCGGAACCAATATAGACGTCATTGGAACCACTGATCTATATATAAATTATAGGTATAAGTACATACCAGACAAGGTCGATATGGATGCATTTATCGAATTCAGCAAAGGTATATGGGGGGCAAACAGTTTCTCTGTAGGCTTACTCTTAAACTGAAGTAGATCTGCTTTAACACTGTCCCCTAGTAAACAGATCTGACGGAGCTTTCATGGTAGAAAAAGGTGTCTTTGTTTCCATCTCGTGTCTGACACAAGATGTACCGCCCCGTAAAGAGACCACAGTAACTCTTTAGTGCTGCGAACTGTGCCTTCTGACATAATCTTGCCCGGCTGCCGACTCAAAAGTGGCAACTTGTTCTTATAGGAAGTGTCTGTGTGGCAGGTGCTCTACGCTGTTCTAGCTTTTTAAACTTTGTGCAGTGGTGGAGCCAGGTTTACACCCGAGAGGGGGCGAGATATCTGAGATTGCCCGAATCTCTAACCTAGTCGGGACTGTAAGGGGTGAGGAACTGCTCCCTCTGCCCCCTCTTTGGCTTCACCACTGACTTTGTGCACTGCTCCTCACCACAATCCATCTCTTCGTTTCAGCCACCTTGGTGGCCATGATAACGCTTGTGTTAATGACTAGAAGGTCTTGACTTTGAGCTAGAATGCATTGATAAGAAAAAGAGGCAACATTGCATTGATTGCTGCATGTGGGATTACAGCTCGGTGTGTTATAGCCGGTGTATAGTTAGTATATCAAGTTATTTATCAAGGGCAAAGGGGTATGGTCTTTATTTGAAGTTATGAAATTGGTCGGTTGTTAGAATTTTTCATGGGGCAATCCATTTTTTCGGGAGTTGAGGTGACCCTTGTAGCTAGATTTCGGGGAAGGAAGGGTTTGATTCTCCCAAATATACAGGCCTAGGGTGGAGCAGACACTTTATTTAGAAATTAGGATTAAGGGTCTTGATATTGGGTTTTCTTCTGTTCTTATTCTGATCGAGAAGTATAGTATCTGTTATGTGCTGATTGTTTTTAGTTTACTATGAACAATATTATCATTTAAGTTCTTATTTTTTGAATATGCAACTATCATTTTCTGCTTATAGACATGGGGGAATTTCTCTTGAAGGCTCTTATAGTGGGCATGAACTATCTTGCTTGCTCGATTGCTGGTTGTATTAAACGGGACAACAAAGGGTGCTATGCCTACATTATGATGAATATTTAGTCCTATAGGTCTTGCTGTATTCAATGTCTCAATCCAATGGGCTTCCCTAGATTGACGGAATTTGGTAGTTTCATCTTCGGGCAAGTCAATTTCTATACGCTCAATTGGGGTTAGGGCGAGATCGTCTATTGAATGGTCGTCGAGGTTGAAATGATTAGAAACAGACTTGTCTTTCTTTAATTCGATGTCTGACCTATGAGCATTAAAGCGAGTT